CTATGTGCTTTTTCAGTTGACATACCATATCAGCTTTTTATTGAATAGTAGTGATAAACTCTGCTTGTCTGTGAGTCTTCCCTCTCATCTACCCTAAAAAATGAGAGTACTTTAAAAATTAAGTAAACATTCTTTTAAAAACATAAACATCATAAGGAAGATAAAATAGAAAACCTTTTAAAGTCATAATTTCACTTATCTGCCATCACTTTTTAAAAATTATAGCCATCCATATATATATGAAGTTGTATCTGTGTGGCTTTGATTTGCAATTTCTAATAATTAATGATGTTGAGGATCTTTTCATGTACTTATTGGACATTTGTATTTTTCTATGAAGTGTTCAAATTTTTTGCCCATTACTGTATTGGATTATTTGCTTTTTATTGTTGAGTTTTAAGTTTTTTAAAATATTCTAGAGACTAATCTCTTATCAGATATATGATTTGTATATATTTTCTGTTTTTTCACTTTTTGATAGTGTCCTTTGTAGTACAAAAGTTTTTAATTTAGAAGCCCAATTTATTATTTCTTTTGTTACTTGTACTTTTGATGTCACAACTAAAAAAAAAAAATCATTGCCTACTACAAGGCCACAGAAATATACACTTGTCTTTTCTTCTAAGAGTTTTATAGTTTTAACTCTTACACTGAGGCCTTTAATCCTTTTTGAGTTAATTTTTGTGAATGGTAAACAGTGGGGATCCAAACTTTCTTTTGCATGCATGCTGATGTTCAGTTGTCTCAATGTTATTTGTTGAAAAGACTATTTCTCCCCATTGAATGATCTTGGCACCCTTATTAAAATACAGTTGACCATACATGTAGGTTTTTTCTTTCCCCTTGGATTTTTGATTCTATTCCATCGATCTAAATGTCTATTCTTAAGTCAGTACTACATTGTCTTCGTTACTATAGCTTTGTAGTTGTGTTTGAAATGGGGGACTTGTTTCTCTCATCCATTACTGATTTTTTCCATTTCCTTCTGTTTTGTGACAATGTGGACAGTATAAATGTATTCTTTGTAACTTGTTTTTTCCTCTATCTGATTTAAAAGATAACTGCATGTTGTAATAATTATAAATTTGTTAGTGGGCCCACAACGTATAAAGAAGTATACAGTAACAGAATAAAAATGGTAGAGACTAAAGCTATAAAGTACACAAATTTTTGTATACTATTGAAACTAAGTTGGTATTAGTCCAACTAGATATAAATTAAGACGCTAATGGTATTTCTCAGGGAAACCACTAAAAACAAGAACCTCAAAATATGTATAAAAGAAACAAAAGAAACCAAAATAGTACACTACAAAATACCTACTAAACAACAACAAAAAAGGCAACTATGGAATAATTAAGGAACAAAATAAGACAGAAAAAATAGTGACAAATATAAATCCTACCTTATCAGTAATTACATTAAATGTAAACTGATTAAACTGAAAGGCAGAGATTGGAAGAATGATTTTTTCTAAAAACATGATATCAAGAGAATGAGAAGACAACTCACAGACTGCTAGTGAGCCCTCTAATTTTTCAGTACAATAACTGTATAATTATTCAACACAACTTTGCAGAATTTCTATTTCATTCCTTTTAAAATATCTTTCTAGATAGTCTCTATTTGGTGATACATAGTTCTTATTTTCAGTTCTTTAAACAAGGTTCTTTTAGCTCTGACATATTTAAAATTGCTATTTTAAAGTCTCTGTCTAGTAAATCTAATGTCTTTTTTTCTCATGAACAGTTCTATTGTTTTTTTTTCCTGAATATAAATCATACTTTTTCATTCCATATTTTTATTGAAAATTGGGCATTTTGAATAATATAGCGTGTCAACTCTAGGAATTATATTCTCCCCCATCCCCAGGGTTTATTGTCACTGCTCGTTTAGTGACATTTCTGAACTGATTTTGTAAAGCTCTGTGGCATGTAACCATTGAGGTCTCTACTCAGTAGCATAATGTTCAGGTAACGATTGGACAGAGATTTCCTTGAATCAATAAATCTGCTAGTTATTGCTGAGAGCTTCTATGTGCATGTTGGGGCATGGCTTCCACACACACCCTAGCAGTTTGTAACTGTTTAGCATTCATTTCCAGCTTGTGAATTGAGAGGTGACAGCTTACAGCCTTCTCGTGTCTTTTCTGACAATATGCACAATCCTATACATTTGCATGGCCTTCTAGATTCGATTTTTTTTTTTACTGATCATGTCATGATTAGGACTTTTTGTGTCCTGTCCAATAATGTTTATCCCAAGATTGCAAAAATACTGTTTTCTAGTGGGTTCTTAGTTTTATGTTTACGACACATTTTAATTTTTTGTGTATTATTAGAGGTAAGAGTTGAGGCTTATTCTTCCATATAGAGATCTTATTCCAGCACTATGTATTAGGTTTCCCTATTGAAATAACTTGATGCCTGGTCTAAAGTCAATTGACTGTGTATGTATAGGTTTGTTTCTGGGATCTATTTTGTCTCACTAGTTTGTCTATTTTTATGCCAAAACCAGTCTTGATTACTATAGCTTTAAAGTAAGTCATTTTTCAAGATTGCTTTGGTTATTTTCAATCCTTTTCTTTTATATATAAATTTTATAGTTCATCACCTTCACTTGAGAAAACCCTGACATTTTGATGTTTTTTTGAATCCATGTAGCAATTTGAAAGAAATGTTTTGTATATTGTCTAGGCCATAAATGATACTTTACTTTAAAAATAACTCTGTACTCTAAATTTTTTTCTTCTTTTATTGTGAATATAACAATTGGGAAAAGTACATAATATATAAAATGTGTATCCATGGCTCAGTTTAAGAAACACAACCCTGCCAGTATCCCACAAGTTCTCCATCTTGTTCCAGCCTTTGATCATAGCTGTTTTTTGCTAAATAGATGGAACCACTGTCCTCACCTTTACAATAATTTTCTTGCTTAATAGATTTTACCATCTATTTTTAAAACTTTACATGAATGAAATAATGTTTATTTTACCCTCATGCATCAAAGATTTTTTTCTGTATTTAGAATGGCAGTTACATAATTCCAGCATATTGAATTTATCATTCCCACTCTCTGCTGACTTCAAATGTTGCTAACAGTTAAGTCAGCTGTCAGTTTAACATATCTTTTATCTTTGGCTAATCTTAAAGACTTTTTGCATTGGTGTTCTGCAGTTTATTTTTGTTTTTAGTATTTTTTTTCCTAACATTTTTAGTTCTGTGCAATAGGATTGTTGGTCTTGCCATACTGGAAATATGAATTTTATTTTAAAATGAGAATCTTACTTTACATATTTTTCTTTTAAAAATTGACTTTTTTCATGTAATTCTATTTTTATGGCAGTATAGTATACTATTGTAGGAAAATACCAACTTACTGAATCTCCTATTGTTATACATTCAAGTTTTTTTTTCTACAAAAAGTTACACAAACCACTTTAATCAAAAGATTCCTTCACATGCAATAACTAACTTTAAATCATAACAATGCCATGAGTTAGATAGTTAAGGCTCTACAAAATTTACTTGAAACTATAACAAATGAGGTGACTGATTCTGCACCAGTCCCATTTATTCACCCATCTTCAAGTATTCTCTTAATGTGTCTAGGGAGATCACTGGCAACATGAGAATACAAAAATATGATGGGGGCATTTCAGCCCACAGTTAGCTGCCCTACACAGAAAGCAGACTGTTAATTACTCTGAGAGGTTTATGAGGAGTCTAATATAAGATTTTTATATCAGAGGATTCTAATACTAAAAGTGTAAATTCAAAGGTATTATGTGTCTGTTGTTCATATAATGAATGAGTGATAAGGGAATTCTTCCTGGCAACTAGGGTTACTCTAAGAATCTGTTAAAGAAACAATACTACAGACATCACTGCTTCTATTTTCAACTTTAGTATATAACATAGGACATATGCGATATTTTACTTCTCATAAGAAAAGGGCATACTGTAACTTGTGATTTTAAATAAAGTTGATGCCCAATCTAGCCATTTTGGAGTGAAGACAGGTGCCATGCCACTTATCTTCAAAAAAAGAGCATCAAAAGCAAAAATTTGAGCTCCCAACATGAGGAAAGTGATGCTGCTAAATGTAGACAAATGATAAAAGGTTTATCATATTTAAAAAATGTAACTGGCTGGTGTATCATCCTATCTCTGTTATTGTTAAACTTTAATTTCAAGATACATACTATTAAGCAATTTCTCAGAGAAGTATTTTGTTAATATTGTTGTCAAACTTCTTAATCTATCAAGACTACCTTTAGTAAGCTAATTCCTTTCTCTAGCATATCAAAGCAAAAATAATACTGTGGTTTTAATCATTGTGGTACTTGCACATCATGAAAAATAAATTCTATTTCCTATTTCCTACCAAAAATAGACATAGGTATTAGTGCTGTATTGTTTACAATATAATCCTACATAGTCATGAGACAAAGTAATAAAGGCCCTTCCCACAAAACATTCTTTTGAAATATTTAAAATCTGAGTAAAAAAAAAGTGTGCATTTCATCATCAAATACTTTTCAGAGTCTCTTTATGTATTATACAACTTAAGTTACTCTGAATGCTGTATCTACTTGCCTGATAACATATAGAAGTGAGACTCAAGATTAAGAATACATGGGATATCACACTGAAATAATGGAGTCATTCCCTGATTAATAACTTCACTTGCAATATATGGGAAAAAGCTTATCTAGTCATAATGACTTTTATAAGTCAATTAGTCATTCTTGATGCACCCTACAGACAACTGTGACAATTTCTCTAATTTGTTTTTGACATTTATGTCCTAGGCACAAGTGACATTTTTCATTCTTTCTACAAATGGAGGTAATGAAATCATTAGTTTCGTTTAGACAACAACTCAAACCTCCACCCCACCACCACCATCACAGCAATTAAACAGGACAGCTTGGCCGACTGGAGTTGAGCTTAAAATACCATTGTAAGTAAAAATAAAATCACACTTAACACTCATTTTAGGAGATGAACAGTTTACTTAGAAATTGCAACATTTAGCAAGGACAAGACATAAACACTATTTTCCAAATTCTACAGAAATACAATAACTTATAGCTGGCTTGGTACATGGTCACATAATAAAAAGAAATCTAATGGAAAAAAAGAATGGTTCATTCTACTTTTCTGCCACTTATCACAACTTAATTAGTATACCAGTTAAGTACTGGAAGACGGCTGCATAGAAGATTAGAATCCTAGGGCTGTTTGTTAATATACATTATTGTATTATAAGAATAATATAAAAACAAAATAGGTAGATACACAAGTAACATGCAATTTAAGCTATTATTCTGAAAAAACAGGACAGAATTTAGTAAACACATTGAAAAATGTGTTGTTAATAATGTATTATAATTTGCATATCATGGTATTATACATGGCATGGAATTTCTTCCTTCTTAAATAACACTTGGCAAATTGAAACAGGTTGAGCATATCTCTAGAGCAAGTTTAAAATGAAGATGAAGGAAAATGAGTAGACAATTCTATTAGATACTTTTCTAAGTATACTAAATAATTTTTAAAGTACCATAATTACATGCCTACTTCACTGTCTCCCAATTTAAAGTCATATTTTGTACCCTATGAATCTGCACTGTCCAACAGTAGCCCTTAGTCACATGTGGCATTTGAGCACTTGAAATGTGGCTATAGTCAGAACCGAGATATACTGAGTGCAAAATACACACTGAAATTTTAAGACTTAGATGGGAAAAGAGGGTAAAGTATCTCAATAATTTTCTATATTGATTACATATTGAAATGACAATATTTTTAACATTAGGTTAAATAAAATATATTATCGGTTAATTTTTTTAAATGTGGCTACTAGAAAATTAAAAATTACATATGTAGCTCACATTCTTTCTATTGGACAGAGCTGATATAGGTAATCTCTAATCATTATATTAGCCTTAGAAATTAACAATCTGTAGCACTAATTCTCGAAACACCATAAACACACTCTGCACATACCTTACTGCAAAATTTATTTTTATCCTTTGCAAGGTATATAAGTGTAAAAAGAATTCATAAAATATTAATTTCTTTTAAAAATGTCAATTAGTATATGGTGAGAGGTAAAGGAACTTCAATGCAGACTATTTTTTTATGGAAAAATAGTTTAAGAAAAACAGCAGTGCAATCAGAGTGAAGGCAATTAGTATCTTCAGTAAAATAAGTTAGCCAAACTTATCTTTAATGCCCACAATCTGATCTTGTACCACAGATCCTACATGTAACTTATTCATTTAACCATAACCTGTAAGAGAATCTTAAAACAATATTGACTGTAAGTTAAATACTCCATTTTTTGAAAAATCTTCAAGCAATGTAAAATTAACAGGCATGATTAATTCTAACAGCAGAATATAGTATCTGAGAACTATCCTTTAAAGTCTCTCAGTGTTAAAGTAAGCCACTGCCTAGTGTCCAAGAGACTTGTATTAAAAAAAAAAAAAATTTAGACGCTATTAAAAAAATCATTGACCTTTTATAATTTTCTTCCTTTTTTTTCAGTTTTTACAGTATAATAAATATGTGGCATACTTATAATACTTCATTTTTTATTTTGTCCAACTCAAAAACAAGTTAATCTAGTACCCATTCCGTTATTCTCCTAGGAACAACACACACCCAAATACAACACTGACAGTGGTCACTTCAGTCAGAAGCCAGCATCAAAGTCATGCATTAGGAACCTCTCCAGGAGCCAATACCTGATTACACTTTTACTACACACTCTGCTCCTCACAGCTCAGGTTGGAATGCTTGTGTGTTTTTCATTTAAATCCATTTCCATAAGGTAAACTCTGCCAAAAATGCTCTGAAATCCACAAATTAACAAATTAACAAAAATTTCTCCTTCATTTTAAAGACGTTTTTAGAAAAGCGGTAATAAATTATTTAATGTAACTTCATGTTTTACCATTACTATTTTTAAGACATCGGAAAGCAACCAAGATTTAGGGAGAAACAGAGGCTACACCAGGTAATACTGGATATACCAACAGGGAAATTGATTGCAGAAGACCACAGTAGTTCTCTCTTAGAGTTCAGCAGCCTGCTAAATCATTTAATCACATTTATTAATGTGCCTTGCATAAAAAGATACTAAACTTTTCACATCTCCTATCTTTGGACCGTGTTCTACACAAACAATATTTTTATTACATGTTACTAGCTCTGATCTAAATAAGCCTGAAAATTCATGTCAAATGATATAATTTTCCAGTTTCAAATATATATTACTCTAAAAATAAACTCCTCAATGAAAGATGACAATAGTCTCCTTTCTGAAAGCTTGCTATTATTTTGATGTTAGAGCAATAATTGACTATTTATTGAGCACCTACTATGACTGTACTCAGTCTACTCTCATTCTTTAACAAGAAAAAAAATCTGCTCCAAATGCAAGGTGAGGGAGAATAACATATGAGCATTTTTAATAGAATGTAGTATGAGTCAACATTTGAACATGTGAAATTGTTCATCCCTATGACATTAAAAAATGTCAAATTTGTTGTTTATCACTTTATAAAGATAAATGAACATCTGAAGTATGTCACATAGTACTCTGAGGAAAGTGACTGCCATACATTAAAATTAAGGCTGATTCCCTATAAAGGTATGGAAGAAAAGCCAGAGTTTTATGATTTGTGAGTCAATGAAGACTTCATATAGACAGTTTACACCAATATCTGGTTAATTTAGGCAGATGGGCACTTGTGTTAGGGTTCCCACTTTGCTTGAGGGGGTTAGTCCAATAAAGGAAACTGTCTTTAAATAGGAGAACCTAAAGCAAATATGGAAATAAAAATCCTTCAGATAAATTTTTTTTGTGAAATCACTATATAAATTCAAGTTCCAAATCTCATTTAAATGTATATACATACATGTGTACACACACGTATATGCCTTAAAAGTATCTAAATTTCACTTACAATCTTTGCCTTGTATGTTTGAACCTGATAATGTATCTTATGCACAATACCGTATTTCTCCTAGAGCTAAGAACGTGGACAATGGCAATAAGACAGAGATAAGCTAGTTTTCATTTTCTAGCCTTTAACAATTCTGACTTGTTGAAGTCCTCCTACAAGGTGCAAGGCACTATGCAATGTACTGAACATGTACAGGATCTGCACACAAAATACTCTTTCAGGGAAACTGAAGTTTAAGAAGCAAAATAGTTGTCACTTTGAAAACAACAGTAATCATTTTCCTCAATAGGATTTCCAAAAATTGAGAATGTCAACTGAAACACTCCCATCTCTGCCAAACATGAAAAATAATACAATATAGAAATCATTTCCATAGAAAACGTGTAAGTGAACATTCATAATAGAGACATAGGGATTAAAGCAGCGTGATGAGCAATGAGGCAGTCACAGAGCATCTACAGGCTACTGCACTGGTAGTGGTTTATAAAAAATACTATCTACACAAAGATTTTAAGAACTAGTAATATAGCTAGCATATTTTTGCTTTTTTTTTTGCCACTGAATATAAAGTTTTGTCCTAAATTTACTAAATGTTCTACACCCTGAGGAATAATAATAGACTAATAAAAGAAATGCCAGGGTTAGCTTTGTGAACCATATTATTGCCCAGAAAGCACAAACTATATATAGCTAATATTCTTGGAAGCACAAGTTTACTCAGCAGACTAAGCTACTCTTTTTGTTGTTGTTGTTGTTTCTGAGCAAAGAGTTTGGTTTTACAGTGTTAACATGGCCTGGTTAACTGGGAGCCAAACGTTTCCCGCCCCCCCCACCCAAGATCTGCCAGTGACATAATGGTTTTCTGTCTCAACTATGAACATGACATATTGCTGCCATTTAGAATTATATTATTCAACGATTCTCTGAAAAGCACTTTGGAATCCATAGCTATATATTTTTATAAAATTACAATTAAAAATTATTTGCTACCTTGAATTATGGAATTCCTACCCCTCCCCTCTCCGTATCCAAAATTCATACAATGCCACATTTTAAATTTCATCTCAGTATTTACTTCTTTTCCTCCAATACTTGAAAAGATAAGGGTCTATATATTCCCTTTTCAACTATCTTATGTAGACCTGGATTTGGGAAGGAATTCTTAAAAGTCCTTAAAGAGGCAAAGAATTCATTTAGGACAACCACATGGCTTTTATGGCAGAGAGCCACTGTTTCTCTTTGAACAAAGGCTGATGTTTATGCACGTGCTGTCTTCTAAGTGTGATGTCCCCACCTCCCCGCAAAAGAACCAATTATTCTTGGTAGGGTGCTTATACATAGTAACTAAAGAAATGCAAACCAAAACATCCTACCTGCTCATATCAGTATCTCAATAGAGGATGAAATACACCATGGGACTATGCTTAGCAATTAGAATAAATAATGAGTGACAATCAAGCTGTTTGATAAAACTTCTATCTTCTGTTTTCTACCTAAACATTAGACTTAAATATAATCTTGCTCTCCCCTAAAAAAGTAAGAAAGGCACTCGAATTAACACAGTATATATAGTTATTTTTTAAAAGACACTGTGTGATGATAAGTAGTATTTTCAGGGTTGATTTTTCCTGCTCAATGCCTTCATGACACGGAATTTGCCTAAGCTTTCCTGTGCCTCCCTGCACTTCTCCATTAAACAAGAGCACATTACAGAGTCTACTCAGGCAGGGGGAGGCAGCAGCACGTAAAGTGCTAGAGTTTGCAACAGTTCTATTTGAGAAATTTATTCAGAAGACAAAAGGTTCAGTTGTTACAATGCTGTTCAAATTTTCTAGCATACTTTAAATATTTAAAAGTTTTAAAATATAATTTTCTAGTAACAAAATAACTGTAAGCTTACAAAAACTTTATGCAAAAAATTATATGTTACTTCCTTTATAACTAAATCTTTAGCATTTTCTGTAATTCAGGGGAGCTATGGTAGAGATTAGATTACTGTACAAGTGGTAGTTGCACTCATACTAAATTGTATTTAGTTCCTGTGTCAGATACTGCCTTGTGCTATATAAAAGAAAATTACTAGACTGACGGTTTGTTTTCAACAATATTAGAAGTTCTCTTTACACACACACACATGTGGGTGTCTCAACAAGTATGAACTGATGACCTATATAAATCCAAATGATACAAAGTCTATCATCATATATACTTTCCTACAAAATGCCACATAAACATCCAAGAACTTTTGTTTCCTTAAGATTTAAGTGGCTTTTACTGACCACCTGAACACATTTAGTCCTGTTAATAATGAAACCTTTAATTTAATTAGAACCATATCATACCATAGGAATAATAAATATGACTAAAAACCTGGGGCCGGACTTTCCAAAGAGGTAACAAAATGCTAAAACTTAGAAAAGAAAAAGGGGACATCAATAAGTATCAAATCCTTAAGTTTAAAAAATGACTGACACAGGATTAAGAAATATCTGAAAGGTCCACAGTTCAAGTTAAGGAAGGGAAAGGAGAAGCACAAAATGACTACACATTCACAGGTACAGATCAACAAGTCTCTGAAATCAAAGAATTTCTTCAGATGCCCCAAAGTGGCTCTGGCTGTGTTGGCAAGATCTGTCCTCCAAAATCATAAATGAACAGAAAGAAGTGTTCTTAATGTAAATGGGATTCTTTAGTTCTATGAATTTTTAATACATATTAAATTGATAATTATAGAGCTGCACTTCTTAGATGGGATTTAACAAGCTTCAACAAGGTAGTTAAATGAAAAAAAAAATCTAAATTAACTAATTCTATATGCGATAGCTCTACTGAAGTATCATGAAGTTAGAATACATCATTCATTCACAATCCATTGCTCTAATCCATCAATTTCTCAATCATAATTCTATCCATCACTCATGATCAATCTCTCCTCTCTTCTAATCATTCATTAATTTAATAAATATTTAATGAATCCTCATAATGTGAAGTAGAATCTTGGAATACAATATTACCAAAATAGTATACTAAAAGAAAAGGCGGGGGTGGGAGGAGGTGGTGAAAATACTGACAACCTTATTGCTTTTAGCATGTCAGCAGTATTCTTGATCCGTAAGATGGTACGATAGCCTACTACTCTTCCAGTGAATGTTTGATGAAATGTGTGTCAATCACAAATATCTTTTAACAACATATTTGTACAAAAATAAGACTAACAAATCACTGAAAAAAGACACATCTTTTCCACTAAATAAGCTCAAAGAGACATTATCATGCTACAGCTAGTGAGTCTAAGTGTCAACCACTGAGATAGAAAAGAACCCCACAATGATATAGGGCAATACTAGGTTTTTCTGTGAATGAACACTTGAAAAATGAAAATTTTAGAAATTAAGTAGCACATAAAAGTCATAAACAGTATCCTTTGGATATTTATATTTTCACTCTCTACTTAAAACTTTACTAGGAAGACAAGAGACCAAGATATAGTAAAGGACTGCATGGCTTCAGAAGGGGTGGGTAAGAGCCTTAAAACACATGAAGACAGTTAACAAAATACTCTGTGGAAGGTAGAAAAAGATGTGGAGCACTGTAAAATTTAGCTAATGTTTCACAGGGTATTATCTATACTCACACCCTAATATTCTAACTTAATCAAAGCATAAGAAGCCCTATTGCTTGAGATACTTAAAATGACGCTTGGAAAAAAGGTAATACTCAATGAGGCCAGAATTTGGCAACATGTATTAGTGGAATGGATTGGATCTCCCATGTCATCTCTGTGTAGTTTGCCCCAATGCCTGCAGGTGCTGATGGTCATTAACCAATGTTTTATCCATTGAGGTCTAGGTAGACCTTGAGGTATTTGATTCAAAATGTGCCTTGTACACCAAAGGCCATGGAATTCTGTTCATAATGGAATTATTTTCTAACTGAAATACTATAAAAGCTACAAAAGAGTAATTTTTGCCCTAAGAGAGAGAAGAGCAGCTTCTGTCTACAGGAGCCAGGCTGGACAACTTTTCTGGTGTCCTTAAATCTCAGTCAACAGTTTGACATTCAACAAAATCATGATTCACAAGGGCTGATTCTTTTCTTTCAAGACAATGCACCTCACTCAAGTCGAGGGTTTTCATAATAGTGAGACAGGAGAGGTCTGCCTTTCCCTGTCTCTTCATCCTCCAGGTGACCTAGCAAGTAAAAAAAAAAAAAAACAGGCAAAGCATGGTGGTCACACTTGTTTCTGCCACTATTACTCATATTCTGCAAACACACAGGACAAAAGACAGCTTCCATCATTAGGGGAACTTTTAGAGGAGCAGTTCATACATTGTGTGTGTGTGTGTGTGTGTGTGTGTTTAACGAAGTATGGAATTCATTAGAGATAGGGAGAATATCTTCCATACACATCCCTGAAATAAGACAGATAAGGAAAAATATACAAAAGAGAGTAATAAAAAATATGGAATGGATTGGGAAAATCAAGAGAAAGGTATGTGGAAATAACATAGGCAGACCATTTACAAAAGGAGAAATATAATAAAGTAGAAAGTAGACAATACCTGGCTGGCCCTTTCCCCACCTCTGCCTTGCCAACCTAAAAAACCCAGCCCTTGTTATTGCAAAGATAAGATACAACTATAAGGTGGATACTTTGGTGCCTCATCCCTGATAAGTTTAGTATCAAAGTTTTTTTTAACTGTTTTATTTGCTAAAATAAAGACTGAAGAACTAATACCCTCAAAACTATTTTTTTCTCCCTGGCTTTTGCCAGTAAACTTTTAATAATCACTTCACTAAAATTTTGTAGTTTATCCAGTGTATCCTCAATAACTTAAATTTTTAAAAAGGAAGATTTTTTACGGATACATTTCTACACATATTTCTCCCATTTTTCATGGTGAATTTGGAAGGAAAACAAGCAATAACTAAAAATGGCATTCCAGGTTTTCTTTAAAAAATGATTTTTATAAGAGCTAACTCGAGTGTTTTTGGCATGTACTAAATTTGAGGTAAAAACAATCTATCAAAACTAGTAATAAAAATAATTTTCAAGTACTACAATTACATAAACTATTAAAATTATTACTTTTTTTAAATAACCATTTTAAAAATGGATTACATCGGAAGCATGTATTTTATATAAATTCCAATACTTCTGACTTTGGTTATCTTGGTCTGTAACTTGGGTAGAACATGCTAGAGAAAGAAGTGGTTTGTATTTCACATATCCACCCATCTGGCCATTTAATTCTCAAAACAATTAGATTGAGTAAGGTGGCATTTGTATTGTTTTTAAGCTCAACCAAAATATAAGTTTTTAATTAAAAAAAATTAGCCTATGCAGCAATTGCACTGAGGTGGGTGGAGCTACATGTGAACCAACAAGGAGAACTGAATGAGAAGCAGCCTAGAAACACAGACTTCTTTTAGAAATACAGAAATATAGAAATATAATGAGAAGTTATAAAGAAAAACTTAAGACTCATTGCTTAGCAGGAACTACACAATTTATCCCCAAAGGAATGCCAGTTCTTAACAAAATAAATAAAATTAAAGATTTACTATGAACTTTTAAGCATAAGATGAAGAACACATAGTTAGCTAATGATAGCAAACAGTTCATGCAACTATGTAAATGCGAAAGGAAAGCGATATTGCACTAGAAGGGGAAACCTGCAGGAATAGTCCACCTCTTTCATTGACTTAATGTATCCAGCCATTTCCTATATGCATTGGCAAATCTGGCCTGCTCTACATTCCGGCATGTGGACAATACTTGATCGATGAACCTGTGTTCCACTTCCAGGCCTAGGTAATCTGGAGCTGGGGTCCGCTTCAGGCGTTTCGTTTCCTGGGAATACCCTTGCTTGTTAGAGTAACACAGTCCATCCACCTCCATTGCCTGGGACGTGCGGGGGCCTGCTGGGATGTGGTGCAAGTCACTTAAAGTCACCGCAGGGCTGTCTCCAGGTGACAACTGGGTCACGCTGTGAGGAAACCTACCATTTAAGTGATGCTGAAGGTAGAAAACATGCCGCCTGTGCAACAGGAGGGGGAGGGAAAGAACAGAGAAAAGAAAGATCACATCGCAAAGAGAAGCTTTTCAGGAAAAACAAAAAAAAAAGTTGATAATTTCAAAACATATAGTACTCAGTTCACTGCCCATTTGTAACCCAGAGTTATGTGAGGAAAAGAAGAATAGTTATGCTGAAGTCTCTGCATATCTGGCCAGTGTTAAAACCCAGATTACTGGATTATTTGTGAGAAGGAATATTACTCTAAGGGTTTGTAAATAGTATTGACTGAGATGATGACAATTATTTGGAGTTGTTACTCTCTGTAGACTATAATATGAAATCAGAAATAGGTCTGAGACCAATCTCTGCTATAAATAGGAATAAAACAAAAATAAAAATGAACCTCACTGATACCTCGAAATACAAGTGATTCAGAAACAAGGGCATTAAAAAGCTTCTCTAGAGGCTTATTGCATGGCCTCTATTCAATATTTTCTTTAATAAGAACAATGTGCCACAGTTGGTCTTATTATCTAAAACACAATCTGAACTTACTCCTAAATCCATCACTACAGTCTCATTAAGCATACACATGCAGTAGAGATGTGCTGGGCTCTGAGCAAAGTACACTACAAGTTAAAGTTCTTGTTCTTCCTCTACGAGCAGTTCTACTACCCTTAGAATTATGTGGAATTATTTGTTAAAAATGAAGATCCATGTGCTTAACCTCTGAAAACTTGACTCAGTGGGGTGCACACCTACAGTACACAATACGGTAAACTACATAGGTTGCTGTATCTCATCATTCATGTTAGTAATTCTAAACTCTTAAAAGGTAATTCTATCCAAAAGGTAATTCTATCCCTGGAGTAGACAGGGAGCATATATCTATTTTATAGAAGATATAACTTAAAGGGCAGATAAACTGCCTAATGGCAATGAATAATCAATAGAAAACTGGGCTGTTTAATATATAGGCTATCCCAACTATCTCTTCTCCGCACTCCCAACCCCAAAATCCAATTAATCTTTGGATGAAGAAAGAAGTTTCTGCTTTGTTAACCTCTCAAACAGAAATATCATTTAAAAAATTCTCTGAGCCTGGCCATGAAAGTGCCTAAATATAAAACAGCAACAAAAATCTGTTAACACCAAAACAAGATACAAGTCAAGAACTATCTTCTCTCTTGAAAATGTGGAGTATCATTTAAAAAAAAAAAATGTATTTATGAAGGTGCCAAAGAGAGAATGTCTTCTGCCTTCTAAATACATTTAGACTGGAAAAAGGGGGCAAATTTCAATTAACTTTAAAAATATACAAATATTTAAAATGCCTACATCCTGCCCAACACAGGCAAGTCTTTTGTCTACAAAAAGAATCTTATGACCTGAAGTAAAATCTATATTTATAAAGACAAAGATGCCTCCAACTAAATGATGATCCAAAGTAAACTGACCAAGGGGTTTCCATATCCGGACTTCATTCCAATGTGAAAGCTACTTTACTATCAAATGTGCTCAGAACTCAAGTTATGAGGTTGCTAACCCTATTTCACTCCTTCCTAATGATCCTGTTCCACTCTCAAAATATACTTTTCTTAAAAAAAAAAAAAAAAAGTATCTAAATGTTAATTATACTTACATTAAGTTCATTTGCAGATCATAATGATCTGAAGAATGACAAAATGCTAAATATTCTCAGAATCTAATGAATGGTCACAACTCTGACTGTGCATCTAATTTATCTGTTAGGGTCTTTTGTTGTTTTTAAAAAACAGATGGCAGTGCTCCATCCCAGATCTGCTAAATAAGAGGGTCTCTATTGTTTTTAGTTTGGAAGTAACACGTTATTCTGTTGTGCAGTCAAGGTTGAATACCACCATCCTAAGCTGCAGGTGAAGATCTACATGGGGAACCTCTCATTGATGATGATCGTGAGGAGGATATGGTAACATAAAATCCTCCAAATCACTCAGGCAAAGCTCCTAAAGCAGATTACCAAAACTACCCAAGCAGGCAGGAGTCAGATGTAAGACTTTCTGTAGTTCTTGTAAAGATATGCACAGTTTCACACAGGAAATAAATTTTCCCTTCTCTTACCTGTGGCACCAAAGGGTTTCATGTCCTGGATAGGAATCAATAAGATCAGTGCTGAATTCAACTTCTTCTTCTAGAAGATGGGGAATATTTATTCTTGGTTCCTCTGTTGAAGCTGCTGCTTCTTCATCTTTTGGAAGAACTAGGGCTGACTCATTTCTCAAAGGGTTTTGCTCCAAGACAGAACTGTCTTTCACAGTTTGGCTAATCAAAGACTTTAACAGAAACTGGCGGTAGTGAAATCCACTGTGGTCTGAAACGTGCATGGATGCCCAGTGTTTAGTAGAAGATAGTTCATCAAGAAGAATCTTGTAGGAAGAAAAAGGGAGGTGAGATGAGAAACTGCCAAAGGCTTTTCTTTCTCCATTACCACCTTGAATTTCTTCAATTCATTACTTGTTTTTTTTCTTTTGATAATACCATTCCTACCAATATTTTATACACAATGTCCAATACCATGCTATCACAGTGAAAGCTCAGTGAATACTAAAATATAATTTTAAATTTTGGCACAGCTTCTTGAAAAAATAAAATGCGTTTAAAAAGAATTTATGTAACATGAAAAACATTTAAATTATTTCTTACTGCATATTTCTACATATAAAAATTGGAATTTACTATAATTTTGAAGCAAAAAACTAGATATATGCAAAGTTTTCAACAAAATCAATTTAATTCCTTTAAAATTTTTTTCTCAGACTTTCTAAGAGAAAAATTCACTATATTCTTTTCCCTAAAATATAAGATGCATACTAAACTGGAGAAGAAACTTTAACAGGAATTTCAGGGCATTTTCTTATTAGAATAAAAAGGTATATAGATACAGGTAATTATTTAAAAAAAAAAAAGACAATGATAATTGATTGTTAAGTGATCTTAAAGACACTGCATAAAGATACAGTTTACCTACAACGTACTGACAGAATACATGACCTTTATATGATATACCTTAAATATCATTATTCTTTTCCAACATTCCAGCTAAAATAAAAACGAATGAGTGAATAAATCAACTACAAGAAAACTACAGAAGCAGGGCTATGAAGCAAAGATAACAGGTTTAAAATGAAAGACTAAGGAAAGTGTTCATTCTTATATACATATGCCATCAGTCATTAAATAAAATCACTCAATATCCTATTAGCCAGCAATAACCACTTTTAACATTCTGGCATTTACTCAATCTTTTAGCTTTTTTCTGTGCATGCATGTGCACAGTTTATTTTTAAAACAAACGGGATATTCTTTTATGCTGATTTTATTCTACTTAAGTTATATATCCTCATGTCATTAAATATTATTCCATAACGTGTAATTCCTAACTTTTACACAATATATCATTCTGAAGATTGTCACAATTTAACCATTCTCTCACAGGGAATACTTTTATAAAAACACATATATAAATCTATGTGCATATCTTATTTAGGAGAAATTTCTAGAAGTATACTTACTGGAACAATGAAAAATATATTGTAAAGTTTTTGATATATACTGTCAAAGTGCTGTATAAAATTTATAATACTATTGGAAGTGTATCTTAATGTCTGTTTCCTACATTTTTCACCAATACTTTAATCTTCTCTAATTTAATAAATGGAATATCACATTTCATTTTAATTTGTACTTAATTATCACTAAGGCTAAATATTTTTCCTGGTCACTTAATTAATTAATTATGGTGACATTGGTTAATGAAATCCAATAAGTTTCAGCTGTATATTTTAACAGTAAGGCATATATATATATATATATACATACATACACACACATATATATTTACACTGTATGTTCACCTCTTATAGATTTCTGTCACCACATATTTGAACCCCTCTTACCCCATCTACCTCATCCCTCCCCTTCCCCTCTGGTAACCACTAGTCTATTGTCCATGTCCATGATTCTCTGTTTGTTTGCCTTGTTCTTTGTTGTTTTTAGGTTTATATTCCAGCATATAAGTGATTATCATGTGATTTTCAACTTTTTCTGTCTGGCTTATTTCGCTTAGCATGATTATTTCATCTCTTCTTATTGCTGCGGAAAATTTCATTTTTTTTTATTTGGTACAGATATCACTTTCGAGACAGTGATTTCATTTCCTCAAATATATGCCCAAAGGCGGAATTGCTGGATCACGTGGTAGATCAATTCTTAGTTCTTTGAGGACCCTCCATACTGTTTTCCATAGTGGCTGTACCAATTTGCAGTCCCACCAGCAGTGAGGGTTCCTTTTTCTCCACATCCTCTCCAGCATTTGTTATTACTTGTCCTGTTGATTATAGCTATTCTAACAGGTGTCTAGTCACTTATTTTTCTTTGTTTCTTTTATGAATTGCCTGCTTTGCCTAATTCTCTTCTTTAATAAGTTGCTTAATTTACTATTTGTAATATTCGTTATTTTTCTTATGGGTTTGTAAGAAATTTTTATATATTAAAGATAGTAAGTCTCTATATTGTAAATAGTTTTCTTAACATATTACTATAATTGACTTTAAATTTCTTTTCTCACCTCAGATGTTTTTCTTTCATTTAGAGTTGTTTGGTATATGAGATTAAAACCTAACAATTATTTTCTAAAAAGTCGATCTTATCAGCATTACAAATGAACAAAGAATTCCTTCTCCAATTATGTAAAATGCCGTATTTATCATCAGTGAAATTTCTACATATTATGTATTGGGATTTGTTTCTGGGCTTTATAGTCTCTTCTATTATTGTCTATTTTTGAGCCAGAACCACAGTTTTAATTATTCTATAAACATTTAAACATATAGTGATATACGGTGTTCCTTATTTTTCTTTTTTTCAGCAGTTTGTTCTTAAAGCTTTATTCTTTCTAATGAACTTTGGAATAAATTTTTGAAGTTGAAAAATAAACTGGTGGTTTTTAGTATATTCATAAAGTTATGCAGCTATCACTGTTATCTAATTTCAGAACATCTTCATTGCCTCCAAAACAACCCTTATTCCTATTGAGTCCCCTAATTCTCCATTCCCCCCAGCCTCTGGCACCCACTAGTCTGCTTTGTCTATTCTAAAGATATCATATATAAATAGAATCATACAACACATGACCTTTTGAATTTGGTTACTTTCAACCAGCATAATGTTTCAAGGTTCATCCATGTTATAGCATGTATCATTATGATTTCATTCCTTTTTTATGGCTGAACAATGGCGATACCACGTTTTGATTATAGCATGTATCATTAGGACTTCATTCTTTTTTTATGGCTGAACAATGGCGATACCACGTTTTGTATATCCATTCCTCAGAAATCAGACATTTGGGTTGTTACTTTTTTTTTTTGTGACTATTATGAATAATGTTGCTACAAGTATTTCTTGTACAAGTTCTGGTATGAACACGTTTTTAATTCTTCTTGGTATACACAGGAGCACAACTTTAGTCATAAAAGATGATTCTATGTTAATTTTTTAAGAAAATACCAAACTGTTTTTCACACTGGGTGCATGATTTCACAATCCTACCAGCAATGTATAAAAGTTTCAATTTCTCCACATCCTTGCCAATACTTGTTATTGTCTGTCTTTTTAATTTTAGCTATCCTAGTTGGTGTGAAATGGTATCACACTATGGTTTTGATTTGCATTTCTCTAATGGCTAATGATGTTGAACACCTTTTTCATATCTTTATTGACCTTTGTATATCTTTTAGGGAGATGTGACCCTCTGTGCTTTCTCAGGTGACACCCCATATCAACATTTAATTGGCCAGTAGTAATAAACTCTGCTCAATTGTCTTTCCTCCCACCCAACATCACCCTCAAAAATGAGACTACTTAAAAATTTACTTAACATCATGTTTCCTATGTTTGTGTGTTCACTTCAACACCAACACCACAGGAAACATGAAACAAACTTAAAACCTCTCATAATTCTATCCCATAGCACTGATACATATTCTTTATTTTCTAATCTTTTTTTTTCCTGAATAGAAAACTGACCATGCTTATTAGAGAAAATACAAGAAAATATATCCATAACAGCACTGTGTGCATGTAAATATCTGCTGAGTACTTATAATATGCCAGGCACTGTTCTAAACACTTTAAAATCACATTCAATGCTAACAGCATATTTAAAAATTGTATTAGACCCATATCATATTTAATTTTATATCCTTAACCTATGAACATTTTTCTTTAAATAATCTTCCAAAATACAATTTTTTCTAGCAACAAAACATTCCAATATAGTCATGGACTATAATGTAACTAATCCCTCATTACTGGAGTTTTTTACTATTATAAAATAGTTTTTTACTATTATAAACAGTATTTTTATATACCAAACTTCTGTATTTAATTAATAGCCAGTATTTGTTGAGTGCTTAGTATAAGCATTTGTGATCGTCACTTCATGTGGATTCTCCCATTTAATTTACATCGCTTGATGTGGCAGGGATTATCATCAACTCTATTTTACAGATGAGGAAACTGTAGGTCAGAGAGGCTAAGAAACTTCTTCAAGGCCACACAGCAAATTGGTGGTAGAGTCAGGATTCAAATGAGGTCTGTATGACCACTGAGTGGTCACTATACCATACTGCATCTTCATTATTTCTTTAAGATGAACTCCTAGAAGCAGAACTGCTAGATTAGAGATAACACGCACATTTTTGGGTTTGTTATTGGTAAAATCTGGTAAATGTTGCCATGTTGACCCTCGGTACGATTATAGCAATTTCTTCAATGTTCGTTTTCATACCTTCATTAATGGTGGATACCAGCACTTTAAAAAGTCAGGTACAATATTCTAAGTAAAAAGAATGCTGGCTCATTATACATATATTTTTAAGCTGCTCTAGACTACTGCTATTTCTGCGATTACTTCCTCTAATACAGCAGTCCCCAACCCTTTTGGCATTAGGGACCTGTGCTTCTATGAGAATCTAACGTCTGATGATCTGAGGTGGAGCTGAGGTGGTGATGCTAGCGCTGGGGAGCAGCTACAAATACAGAAGAAACTTCGCTCATTCACCCGGCACTCACCTCCCGCTATGAGGTCCAGTTCCTAACAGGCCACGGACCGGTACCAGTCTGTAGCCCAGGGATTGGGTACCCCAGCTCTAACAGACAAAAAATAGCAGGACATGATCTCCTAGCTAGGCTCAATGGTTTACAGGAAAAGGGGATTTTGCAAATTTAGCACTCTTCATTGAGAGTGAGACACTACAATGGCAGTAGTGACAACACGTGAGCCTTGGATCGTGAGTCTAGGAGTGAACTGAGGCAGCTGAGTCAACACACCACTAATGAGTTCTCGTCTTCAACATAGGATGGTCTCAAGTAACCAAAAATTTCACCTTGGCCCCATGTCCCTGATTTTATGGGAATGCCACCTTAAAAGGTTCAAACCAAGGCAAGGGAGTTTCCAAAGATGTCTCAGCTTTTCTGGACTCAAGAGTTTTAACACTTTTACGTGAACAAATTGTACTGAGCTGACCTAGCAAACTGGTAGTCAGTTTCATCTAAACTTTCTATCTGTGGGGAACAGAGAAAAGAACCAAAATTTAGTGAGCCTCTATTATTAGATGCCCACTACTTTATGTACATTAACTTAAGTAATTCTCATGATAATCCACTGAGGCAGAAAGTAGAGCCCCATTTTACAGATGAAAACATTAAAGCCTTACTGTCCACATATAGCTAGTAGGACCAGAATCTCAGCCCAAGTCGATGTGATTCTGTCTTAGCTCTTTGCACTTCATTAGGTGTCCTTCCCTCCTGAAACACAAAGCCATATAAACTGGAGGGAAGGGCTATTCTTCTAGAATTGTTCGCTTAAAATCTGCCAGAAATAAAAACTCTATTTCTCTTGGAGGAATCTCTGGCTAAGAAACAGAAAGGAGAGGAAACCTGTGAAAAGAGATGTACAAAAGAAGTGGGTTGTGAATAAAAATTAGAGCACAGTTCCCCATTAATGTGGAAGTACCACTTGAGGCATTTTGACCCCTGTAAACTGTCTCAAGCCTGGGAGGCTTTCACAAAAGTACCCTAGATTCTGATGGCACTGATACCATAAAAAGGGAAGAAAAAAAATAGAAACACTACAGTACATAAGAACCAGCAAAAAGATACTTGTTTCTCATTCTGGTGAATAACAAGTGATGTAACCACAGCTAAGTCTAAGCCATTACAATTCTCTGGAATCTTCTACTTCCTCATTTCCAAACTAAAAGGATTAGGCTGCGACGGTTTCCAACTGGCTCTGCATCCAAATAACCCCGAGTATGTGAAATACACTGATCTCTAAATCTTATCCTCATTCCAAATAATAGGCCTGGTGTGAGACTTAGGAGTTCTTAGGTTATTTACAGACTCTGCCAAGTTTGGGAAAATTTAGGTGAAATCTTCTGTTCCTTCCTAAGAGAGGAGATTATGAAAAGGCAGCCAGCTAATTCAGCATAATAAGTCGTATAACCAGAGACTACCAAGAAAGAACAATTTCAATTCTATAAGGTTTTATAATCCCTTCCTGCTTCAGGGCAAAATGAGTTATGCTCAGTCTTCCTCATTGCTTAAACCTGCCTTTGTCCTACCAAAGTACTAGCCTTAAGAGTGCCAAAATATGCTGGTAAGGAATGAAAACTTTTTTTTTAATTGCAAGAGATTCCCTGGGGGTATCAGCTGTCACGATCCTCTCTAGGCTGCTGGGCTGCCATTAAGTTCCTCTACTTACCCCCCTTACTGCACCTCTGAGAAGGAACTACTTACTACTGGAAGACTTAAAGAGCAGACAGAATGTGCTAGAGAGACGGAATTAACAGTCCTACCTTGACATCTAGCTTGGCCAGGTGTTGTAAAACCCAGATGCGATGGGACCAGGCATTATAGTTGCTTGGGTATCTCCCTGCTGCTTCACCACAGACCTCCATCTCCTCTTGTATTACTTGCTGTTTCCTTTCTGCAGGAATTGTTCCTAAGTTTCCTTTGGTCACAAAGGAAGGCAAGGAGGTTTCCTGAATTAGCTGTTGTAGCACCCATCGTCTGTTAACATGGCATGTGAGAAAGACAATGAGGCAAGAACATAAACCAGAGAGGAAAACAATCAAAGTTTTCTTTGTTCTTAATTTCCACCCCCAGATAATGCAAAATAATACCTATGAGCCCAGGTTTTTTTTTTGGGGGGGGGGCAGGGGCAGAAGGATTGTTGTTTCATTGTTTTTGTTTTTAAAGACATTCTTAACTTTAGCAGCATGGATTTGGGGCGAAGGTAGGGGAGAGAAAGGACAAAGAGGAAAGCAAAACCTTTCTAAAATGTTAAAATCTGTCAAAAAGAGAATGTTATCAGTTTCAAAATGACAACTCCAAAACTCCATTTGGCCAGGAAATGTAAAGCCAGTTGGTGTGTGTGGGTATGCACATTGGTAGTGGTGGCTGAAGGTGAGAGGATGTAATTAAATGGCTGGTAAATGTGAGAAAAGGAGTCATGGCTCATGTCTTTATTATATGTTCATGCCTCGCCCTATGTGTATTTGCTTGTTTGCAAACAAGAAGCTGCATTAGAACAGCTTTCATTAAGCAAAAATGTTATAATATAGTATAGAATCTGGACAGAAACAAATAGAATTAGTGAGACCATCACGCAGGCTTTAAAATGTCTTTAGCCACAAATTTTCCCCTTGCCTATTTAAGAATTTCATTAGCATACATTTAAATAAAATGTGCTAAAAAAGTCTCTATCCACTTAATGTCTTTAGTTTTAATAAATATTTCTCATAAGAAAGCATACTTTGAGATGAAAATTTCCAACCTAAAGGTACAAGAAATTGAGGACACCCATTTTCATATAATAGTTTTTTACTTAACAACAAAAGCTTGCTTTATAAAACATTAGAAAAGCCAGTAAACTGACAGATGCATATTTAATAATCTCCTTCCTCTGCCACCACCCCTTTCCAGACCTCTATATACAAAACTATACATTTCTCTGAAGTCTGCTATCACAATTTCTACTAAGGGAGAAAATACAACTGATTTTATGGTTTGGAGACAGCTGATATGCCAGGCTAGCTGCAGGCACGATTACAGCTAAGATACCTTGGAAGATCCTAAAAATGCTCAAGATGTAAGTAAAGTGTTAAGTGGCTTTAATAAACTGAGAACAGACTTCTTCAGAGAATTTCTCCTCTGACCCTAAAGAGCATGCTCACACCATCTCATTTTAGTCAAAATACAGTAATTACATGGAGTCCAAGAGGAAGATGCCTCCAAACAGCCAGGATTTTGAGAAGGGTTCTTATGTGCATTTTGGCTATCTTACTCAGGCTTTTAACCTAAAAATATTCTTTGCATTTATGGTCTTAGCAACTTTAGCTCAGCCTATACACCACTTACTTCAGCTGTTCTTATTTTCCTTATTTGGTTAATTTTAATAACCATAACCATTACCACCTCCAACTTTACCAGGAACACACCTGAATGAGTTATAAAACTTCGGTTACTCATTATAGTTGAATATCTAATGCAATCTCCATGACTGCTTCAGATAGTTAATTATAATGGCTAAAAATTGAGTATTTAATATGTGTCAGGCACTGTAGTAGTGTTTACATGCATTATCTCATATAAACTCAACTATTAACTCTGAGATAGGTATTATTATTAGTCCCATTTTACAAATGAGAAAACTCAAGATTGAAGTGATTAAATGATTTCCAAAGGTAACACAGGTACCTAGTGAGTGATGACATCTAGATTTAAATGTAGGGAACTTGACTTTAGAATTCATACTTTGAATCAATATGTGACCTTGCTTTGCATTGTGTTTTCTCTCCAGTCATTCTGAATCCTAATAAAGAATGGTATGGTGTAAATTAACCATACCTGTGAATTCAGTATGGTGTAAATTAACTATACCTGTGAATCCATGTTTCTGGACTCTTTGGAAACTTAGTTAAGGCCAGTTTTCCCAGATATAAATCCTTAATTGGATTTAAAGTACCAGACAGGATCAGCTCTTTTCTGTAAAAGAAAAATAAAAAGAACCATTACTTTATTTTTCTATCCAAATGTACTGCATGACTATTAATATAATCTCATTGAGAAGCAAATTTCCAAGAAAAAAACACCCCACAAAACTCTCATACATGTCAAACACAGTAGTCAAGAATGTATTCGTAAAATCTTGAAATAATAAGCAGAAAAAGCAGCTCTAAATCAATAGCTCTATATCACAAAACCTACAGATACAATAAAAAATCAACTGCTCTAATGTATTCCTGTAGGAATCTAGCTTGAGATAAAATTTCCAGTCACACATGAACTCAAAAAGTACTCTATCTCAAACAACTGAGAAATTAGTTATGATGTGCTTTAGAAAACTGTGCTAGGCAACTCAAAAAAAGAAAATAGCTTTCATCATGACAAAGTCACTGATGTCAACAAGCCATGTGAAGAGTCTGAATTAAATTATTTAATGAAACGTGAATAGGAAAATGAATTTAGTTACCTATTTGGGAGATGGCAAAGGGGTTTTCTGGCTTGTCTAATTTCCAAAACTTACAAGGCCTGACATCAGTATCTGTAGGGTAGATCCATTACAAGTCAAGAATTGCTCTAGCTTCCTAAGTAGGACTTGATATAGTGTAGTTCATTACCAAAAAAATACACATATTACACAGTATGATTGAGATGTTAAGAAAAAAAAATTAAATCATTATCCTAGCAAAACTATTTTTATTTTTGAAATTTTCCTTCTAAATTTCCTCATATGCATCTATATTTAAAATAATTTTATATTCTATTCTTATATCTTAATAATTACCTCATAGTTCTATATAATCTCTCAAGTGAACATTTTAAGTGATCAAATAGTTTTCATTCAGTAGCTAGGCTGTAAATGAATGACCTTCTCCCCTGTGAATAGATATTTAGATTGCTTCCAAGTTTCTGATATTCTAAAATAATTCTCAAAGAGCTTTGTGCTTATGACTTCTTTGATTTGTACTATTACTTAGGATAAGTTTCCAAAAGACATACTGCCAGGTGAAATACTGCATGGCTCTTGATAAACTAGACCACTCATTTTTGGAATATAAACAGAATAGTAATGTGAGTTTGTGTTGTTTTAAAACTGTTTGAAGCTTCAATGCAATTATTATGTCATGTAAAATGCTCCACCGATTTCTCAAATACAATTTAGGTTTAGATATAATTTATCAGATAACTTTTTGAAAATAAGTTTTGATACTACTTTTCAATGTGTCTATAATTTTAAAATAAAATTATATCATTTGCTAGTATTTATTAATCTTAAAATGTCTTTCCTATGATAGGACTGATTATTCATGTATTTTAGAGAAGTTTAATCCCAACAAAACCAGAGCCCAGCTCATATACTTCTACCTTAGGTAGTAGGTAGATTTAATTCCTAAATACATTTTCTTTCCAACAGTAATGTACTACTTCTAAATTTTTATTTGCTAAGAATAACTTTTTAATGAAAATACTAAACAAGTGATAATACTGGCACTTTACAATCATTTTTAGGTCAGCAATTTCACTCTATAAAATAATTTGAAGGGATACCAAGAAGGTTTACAAGCTGCTTTAACAGATGGATTTATTGACTATTTTTCTTTCAATGTACAAGAAATTTGTCATTAAATGAATATTTAATCCAATAGCCATTTACTTTTGCAGTCCTAGATCCTTTTTCTTCTGAAATCAGTAATGTTTTGTTCATACAATAAGTTGGGATACCTATACTATAAAAGGAGGCAAAATATTGCTCTATGTAATTTTAAGTACTTTCTTAAAGTAGGGTCCCTGGCTACGATAGCATCATCTGGAACATGTGAGAAATACAGACTCAAAATTCATCCCAGACCAAGTGAATCAAAAACTCCAGTGGGCCAAAACAAAGTGTATTAGCAAGTCCTCTAGGTGATGTACGCTAAAGTTTAAAAACTGGATCGCTGCCAGTGTTAATTTTACATATACATACTCTTTGAGGCTGAAGCAAATCCAACTGGTTTTCAATGTGAAAATAAAATATAAAAACTGTCCTTGGAGTTATTTCTGAACAGAACTTGTCTCTAATCCTAATGTAACAGAAATGTACACATAAATTGGATTCATCAAATGAATCTTCAGCTAACAAGTTTGAGAATGATGTTAACATCACAGGTAAGAATGCTACGTTTTCTAGAATTTGACATTTTCAGTGATGGAGAATTACACTATTTTGTAAATGGAAATACCACCACTAAAAAGAGAATGCTATAAATAGAATGATGTCATTTGTTTCCAAAGATTATCTATACACTAGAGTGATGTGAAAATAATAAAAGCTAGATATTTTGTGGCAAATTTTGGGGGGTAAGGTTAGGACTGTAATCCGCAAGTTATCATGGAGTAAACCTGGCAGCCACATGCACCACCGGCAAGTATTCTTGGGGCAAATGGGAAATGGATTAAAACTCCTCTTTATTTACAATTGCCTACCTATGTTCCTCCATATACCTACAACTAAGGAGAAATAATCAAAATTTTCTTCAAAACAGAAGTCATGTTATAACTGAATCTTTACAAAGTATGTTAAATTAAGGGTGCTTTCTTAATTTACTTTGAACAACAAAGTACTATTTGGGAAGATATCTAAGCTTGAAACAAGCTCAATCACTGGTATATATGGATACTTAAAAAGATCACTTGATTTTAATGTAAATTTAATAAATATTCCTGGGGGCAGGACTGAACATTTTAGGTGTTGGATGTTGTCATAAACCAATTTTTTAAAGATTTCTTGAAGAAGAAATATGGTAAGTGGTTAAGTTATGGCTATCGCATAACCTAGAGATACAATAAAAAGTCAACTGCTCTAACATATTCAAGTAGGAATCCAGCTTGAGGTAAAATTTCCAGCAACAGATGGAGTTAAGAAGTGCTGTATCTCAAACAACTTAGATATAAGTAGACATAATGTGCTTTGAAAAACTGTGCTAGACAACTCAAAGAAATAGCTCTCATGATGACAAAGTCACAATGTCAACAAAACCATGTGAGGAGTTTGAATTGTTTAAAGAAATGTGAGCAGGAAAATGAAGAATTCATAAATTAAAATGTCACGTTATTTTAAAGATGTGTAACTGAAAAATTAAATATAAGAAGACATTTGCTTATTTTATGTACATACTGATATTAGCCTAACTTTTTTTGTTTTGTTTTGTTTCTTATTGAGGAAATGGAGGGAGTACTGCTTTAAATTTGAGGCGGCTTTATTTTCAGGCATAGTGAATGAGTTGTGTTTCTATATTGATCCTAAAGCCTTAAGTGGTACACTGCTTAGAGGAAGAAGGAATAAAGTAAGGGCCATAAAATAAATGTGAAAAACTAGGAAAGAAAAAGGCATTTGTGTTGCTTTGGGAGGAGAAAGCAGGGGTGGTAAGGAACAGTGCCATGCTACACGTGCAACCTCGTTGTGGGATGAAATTAAGTGAAGACTGACTTTTTTATAAGGTGGGAGAAGGGAGTAGACTACGTCAGTTTTAATAAAGAACTATAAAAGAAATGAGGTTTTTCACACGGATTTTTCAAATAATAAAAGTTACTCTTTTAAAATTTTGTGACAGATTTCACTTACCGTTTTAACAGTATTTAAAAAATATCATTTTCCATTGAAGACTCCACTGTAAGCTAAAATTCACCCATGGGAGCCTCTCGGAGTTACTAAGGTGAGTAGTGTGTTTTATCCCTCTACATGAGTTATTGTACTTTGATATTTCTGCAAAGTTTATCTTATTTTTTAAAGTTTTTCTGTCTTCTCTCCATCTCAAACTAATAGTTACAGCTTCTCTCTCCTGTCACTTTACTGAAGATTTGTAGGAGACCAGGGGCCATGTTGTATCCTGTCTATGGCTAAATCTCCACTGGTTAACCCGGTACTAGATACTTACTAAATACCGAATAAACAAATGTCATCTTTTCCCCCTCAATCTTCAGTTATTCTGTCCGAAATAATAATGATAATAAAAGTCATCCTCATAAAACTTAACATTTATTGAACACTTCTGAGTCAGGCATTGTGTTACATGATTTACATATATTATCTAATTTAATTCCCACGAGAACCCAAGTATGGGTTATATTGAACCATATGAAATGCCAATATTCAATTGTTTCTTAAAATCAACTTTTCATTTTAAAATTGTTTAAAATTTACAGAAAAGTTCTAAGAATAGTACAGAGAATTCCTGTATACCTTGGTCCCAGCTTCCTATATTATTAACATATTATCATGGTACATTTGTCATAGCTGACGAACCAATCAGGAAAGATTACTATTAGAAGACCATATTTTATTCAGAATTCCTTAGTTTTTACCAAATGTCCTTTTTCTATTTCAGGGTACCATGCAGGATATCACATTGCATTCCACTGCTATCTCTCCGTTAGGCTCCTCTTGGCACCTCAGATATACCTTGTTTTTGATGGCCCTGACAGTTTTAAAGAGTACTGATCAGGTATTTTGTATGACGTTTTTCTCATGGTTAGACTAGAGTTATAGATTTTGAGGAGGAAGAGACCTCAAAGGTAAAGTGCCATTTTCATCATATCATATCACTGTTGATGTTGACCTTGATTACCTGGCTCAGGTAGCATGTGCCAGGTTTCTCCACTGTACTTTTTGGATGAAAGTCACATTTAGGGAGTAGGGAGTTACGTTCCATCTCCTTGAGAGGGGTTATCTAGTTAAATTATTTGGAATTATTCTATATGGCAGATTTGTTTATTGTTTCCTATTTGTTTGTTCAATCATTTATTTGTCAGTATGAACTTATGAATATCTACTTTATAGTTTGGGGTATAAGACAACATTATGTTATTTTATTGCTCAAATTGTTCCAGCTTTGGCCATTGGAATCCCTTCGACATATCCCCATCATATGGTTTTTTGCGCACTTCCTTACTTTCTGGCTCTCTAAGATGTTCCAGGCTCATCATGTACATTCCCTACCCTGATCAATAAGCCATTTCTCCAAGAAGCCCAGTTCCTTTTATTAGAGAATAGTGTTAGAAACAAGGATGTGGATGCTTGAATTTCATCATTTTTGATCTACAAAAACAATAATTTTATATAGTGCAAACTAGTATTAACTCAATTCTACAGATGAGGAAACCGAAGGTGGGAGAGAGTCGGTAACCTGCTCAAGGTCTCTAAGCTCAAAATGTCAAACCAAAAGTCAAACCTACATAAAATAAAATTACCAATTTAAATCAATAGGCTTGAGTAAAGGACATGAATCATCACAGCTTGTTGTCAGCTATTCTAGTTGCTCAAAGATGTTCTGCTTACTCTATGTTCACAGACTGATTAAAAAAATAGGACATTATTATGAGGTCAACCTCTTTAAGTAATTCACCAATTTTCGAAGCAAATTCAAACCAAAAAAAAAAAAGAAATACTTGTCATTTTTTTCTAGAACCAGCTGACTTTTAAACTATATGTATCACTCACTGTAATCACAGGAGATCAGCTCAAAAATTTATTCTTGCCTGTATTTTTTTCACCGAAGACTGTAATACCTATAAATTGAACTACCAATGTGTTATACCATCTTTTAGCAATTTATAAAATACAGTAAAAATCATTCAATTATTCTCAGAGTTACTGCAGAATATACCAACAATTAAACATAAAATATTGAATCTTTGAATAGCAAAATATCTTTTAGGGTTGGATCAGTTTACTTCCAAAGTTGCTTGTTTTCCCCTCCAATGTATTCATGATTTTATGTTCTAATACGACAATTAATCTTACCAATACAAATTAAAATTTACTAGAACACATATCAACAATGGATTTTGAAAACCAAGATTTCCTTTCATCTAGCATAAAACTCTACTAATCATTTTACTAGAATAATTTCAAGATTAACTGCTATTAGCATAATTGAAACTAGATACATGAAACAATTTCCCTTTATAAGACCAAACCATACATAATTTTAAAAAGTCAATTTCAAAAGAAGTTTTAAAAATCACCTAATTCAAATCTTTTATCTCACATAATGGAAACTTAAAACTCGAGAAGTTAAAATTTTGCCCAAAGTCACCTGCTAGTTAACTGATGAAAAAGGACTAAGATCCATGTATCTTAAGACTAGGTTCTTTCCTATCCTGAACTGCCTTTTAGAATGTACAATGAATAATATATACGTATGTACGTATGTATGTATGTATGTATGTATATGTACATTATGCTAGTAAGAATCTTTTTTTAAAGGATTTTTAACTCCTCTTTGATGAGGCATATAAGAACATGAATAAAAATGATACTTCTACTTCTCTATTATCTTCATTTCTTTCTCACTGAATTTAATCATTCTGCAAACTGATTATCTATTATGTGCCAGGCACTAGTGTTAGATGCTAGGGAAATAAAGGAAAAAAAAAAAACAAGACAAGACAGGGACCCTTCCCTTAAGAAAGCTCTCAGTTGTAAGTTTATAGTACCTTCCTAAAAGTCTCCTTTGCTGATTCTTCCTCATCTCGCAAACTTTAGAACAGCGCTGTCCAACAGAAATATAATGTGAGTCACAAACGGGAGCCATCTATGTAATTAAAAGGTTTTACAACTACATTAAAAACAAGTATAAAGTAATATATTTAACTTACTACATCCAAAATATTATAATTTCAACATGTAATAAATATAAAAATTATTAATAAGATATTTTACTTTTTGGGGATATGAAATCTGATGTGTAGTTTACACTTACAGCACATCTTAACTGAGACCAGTCACATTTCAAGGGCACAATAGCCAAATGTAGCTAGTGGCTACTCTACTGGACTGTGCAACTTAAGAAACCTGTAGTGTCCCAGGGCTTAGTCTTTGGACTGGTTCTCCTCTCTATCTATACCCACTTCTCTGGGTATCTCAAACAATCTCATGACTTTAAATACCATATATTTTCTAGTGATTCCCAAATGTACATCTGACCTAGAACTCTCACCTGAACTTTAGATTCATACACAAGTAACTAACTAGACACAAACCTAACATCCTGAACTGAACTCTTGACTTCCAACCAGCAACCCCCACCTAAATCTACTCCTCTTCCAGATGTTCCTATTTCAGTAAATGGCAACTCCATCCTTTCAGTTGCTCAGGCCAAAAACCAGTCAACCTAGACTAGCTTCATTCTCTTACCTCCAATGCACCATCTGTGTCTTTAAAACCTGTTTATTAAATACAGTCAAAGCTCCTATAGTTTCTAAAATACAGTGAGAATCTTAATTTCTCACTGCTTTTACCACCAAGCTCTACTTCAAGTCACCAGTATCTGTCACTTAAATTACTGCAACCAATTCTTAATTTCCTAATCACTCCCTGTACCCTTACGGTCCACTTTCCACACAATAGCCAAAGTTTTAAAACCCCCAATTTCATGCTAGTTTTTGCTCAAATGTCCCCTACTTAAAACTGCAATACCACTCTTCCCATCCTCTTTCTGGCCTTCCCTACCTTCCTTTTCCCCTTTCTTTCTCACAGGATTTGCTAACACTCGATCTATTATATATTTTACCTATGAATGTCCTTATTGCTTTTCTTCTTCTACTAGAATAAAAATTCCAGGAGGACAGGGATTTTTGTTTGTTTTGTTCGTGGCTCTATTTCCAGTGTCTAGAACCTAACACATAATAGTTAATCAATAAATATCTAATGAATGAATAAATGCTGTCAAATATGTGAATTAAATGAGATAACATAAAGTTGTAGTATGGTCTTTAGAATATAGTAGCTACTCATAAACATTGTAGTCTATTCCCTAACCATTGCGGTGCTTTCCATAAAAGAAAATCGGAATTATGTAAATTTTTAAAGTCACATATCTCATTTTGTACTTTTCTTACTCTTCATTCTAAGTATCTAATCATTATTCAAAAGACAATTTTAAAAAGACATATAATAGAAGTTACCTAAAATCAGTTAAATACAAAGTTCAATAGTTATTAAAAAACACTAACTCAAAACATAACCTTGCTTAAAATACAAAGAAAATTAAATATTGTCTAAGTCATCTATAAAGACACAGAACTATAATCAATGGCTCTTTCCTAAAGGAAAATTTTAAATGCATTCACAATGTTCAATGGGACTTCAATTTTATTATCTATAATTTGCACCCTGCTTTCCCTTAGATAATGTGTTAGTCTAAGGAACCACTAAGTGTTTAAAAACACACATATTGTTTAACTGAAAAAAATTCAATGAAAAAAATGAACCTGGTCTGAATTTTAATATTTCTATGAAATATTTTGTTTAAAGCTACAATGAGAATTAAAGAACTTAAGATATCAACAAAATGTGATCCATTTCCAAAATACCGAGTGCCAGATACTTCACATGATTAGTACACGAAAGTCACAATGTTAGTGACTAAACTGAGACTAAAAGTTCTTGACCTTGGATGCTTACCCTACACACTGCAGTGCTTCTCATATGTACTAACCAATGCCTTACTAACCAACCGATTATGCTGATTGCCCCTACCCACCTAAAAAGGAAAAAATAGAGGCATGTATCAAATGGTATACTGTAATTCAACATAACAGCTTATATTTCAGGAAAGAAGTTTACAGAGAACAGACATAAACATGCAAAAGGGAGCAAAGTGTATATCAGAACTGTCATAGAGATATTTTAAAGAATGAGTATAAGAAATAAGTGTAAGATGCCATGGATATATGGTTTATATTTCATTTTTCAAAAAAACTAACAATGCATGGGGCTTACATGTCTTCGGAAATTTGGACAATTTCAATTTCATGACATACCTCACATTCCATGCAGTGGTAAAGTCTGGGTTTAGAAGCAGCAGGGTGCATGTGACATCTATCAATTCTAAAATAAAGAGAAGTCATGTTAAAAACGAATAGTCCTATCGTTTAAAGCTTGGCTTCTCTTTAAGGCCCTCTTTATTTCATTTTATACAGCTCACATTATACTAACACACAAATATATATATCTCATGTCATACTAATTTTAATAATAGATACACCTTGTTCCAAACTGTCAGGGATAAGGAGATTATCTTTAAAATTTTCTCTACTTTAAGTATAACTCTTTTTAAAAAGTTGACACCGAAATAATTTTATAATATGCCTATAAGAAGTAATCAAATCAACCTCTTCATCCTTTTAGTTTTTGACACTAATTTTACATTTACCAAGGAAAAGAAATAATTTCTATACCACTATTCACTTAATCCCACAAATATTTCAAGAACTGACTGTGTAAATTTTCAAAAGAGGAAAAAAAATCATTCATAATCCAATTTATTTCACACAATCCATTTCCATCTCTGAGAAGATTATCCTTTCTTATACATATTTTTACATAGCTATAGCAATGATAATATGAAATTTTGCTCTATGTTTTTCATTCAACATGGTTACATATGCATTCTCCTATATTGCTACAGTATGCATTTTTAACTGCTGCATAACAATCTCTTAATTAACTATTTTATTCTTCAGGGTGTTTACTGTTATAGATAATATTGCTAAAAACATTTTAAAACACACTTTTTGTCTCACAGATTATCTTCTGTGGATATATTTCTAGGAGTAGAACTACTATGTCGAACAATATAATTATTAGTATAGCTTCTACTAAGCATTTCCAAATTGTCCTCCAAATGGACTATATTTATTAATACTGCCAAGAGTTACATTAGTGTACTTATGTTCCCATAATTCTGACCTACATAATTATATTTTTAAAAATGTTACTAAAATAACAAATTATACTTTGCTTGTTTTAATTTACATCTTTATCTACGATTATTAATATGAACCATTTTTCATTTATTATTTTCTATTTTCAGCTTATGAACAACCTATATATATTCATTATCTATTTATCTATCATGGTCTTGACAGAATTCCTATATATTCGAATAAGTTCCATAAGCCTATATTCCATAGAACAAAATCAGTAATATTTAGACATACTGTTTTCTTTTTACTAAAACTAAAAAGAGAATTTTAGAATTAAGATGATCAACCTAGGTCATAACATTAAATTAAAGAAACCTCTACTAAACTCATATTAAATGCTAAGTAAGATAATAAAAATTTTAGTTATTTAGTATTATTGAGTACTAGGACAAATGCTTTATTTACATTATTTCATTTAATTTTCATAATCACAGTCCAAGATATTTTTGTTTTACCTTACAGATAGGAATACTGACATTTAGAGAGTTTAAGAAAATTTGCCTAATACTGACATTTAGAGAGTTTAAGAAAATTTAGTATTAAAAGCATCTGACTGCTTTTAATAACTCAATTATACTGCAACTGAAATAATAAATAACTGGGGCATTCTCAGTATTTAAAATACAAATTTTTTAAAATCTAAAAACACACATAAATACATCCCTATAGTCATTTAAAAATATTCTAGCAAAAAAGAAAAACAATTATTCCCGTCTCAACTATCTTCATAAGAGATTAACATTTATTGTGAGCCTATGATTTCATTACTACTGAGTATACTTGATAAACGAGCAACGAAAAGTAGAATTAGCACATGTTTATATTTTACCTTTATCTTCATTACAAGCATTACATGCATAAACACAATATTTCTGTAAAGAATAATTTAACTTTTTCCTTCTTTTACTTTTAGTAGTGTCTGGTGCTAATTTACCAAAAAACCTAAATGCAATTTTGTTCTATACCATTATTCACTTAATTCCACAAATATTCTAAGTATTGACTATGTGCAAAGATTAAACTGGGCCCTCAGGATTGAGAGAATGGATATAATGATCAATAGACCTGATGCCCTCTAGGTTACCCATTAGTTGGAGAAAAGATGTAAACAATTACATAAGGCAAAATGAAATAACTGTGAAGTAGAAACACATATCACATGTTGGGGACCACTAGACAATTAATTCTTTGTGGAGTACTCAGGGAAGGCTATAAATAGATAAGGTGGTAAAGGGCATTGCACACCATGGAAAAAAGTTTGAGCAAGGTAAAGGGGCATGTAACTTCACACACAGTGTGCTCAGGATTATGGGTACAAGAGTGTGTTACAGCACAGAGTGCTGGAGAAATATACCAGGAAACTAGAACCTGGTCCCAATCTCCTTGTCAGCCAGGCTTTCCACTACTTTCCCCTCATGTGCTTTACTCTACCTGAACCAAACTTGACCATTTTCTAAACACACCTCTTTATCTTCCTACCTTCTCTTCTCTAGATATAACATAGATTTCTTGCTTGCTATGCTCTCTGCAGGAAACGTCCTCCTCGCTCCAATTTTTTTTTTTTTTAATCTTTCTTCATAAAGGCTTTCCTGACCTACCTAGCTGAAAGCAATCTCATCTCTATGTTCTCTGTATATCTTACTTAGTTATTGACCTTTGGACTTCAGTTTCCTTATCTGTGAAATGGGAATGATAACATAAACTTCAGTGTTAAGCAATGAGATTTGTTTCATTTCACCACAGTTGTTTGACAAACTACTCAATACTTGTTTGACTAAACACTGCTGCTACTTACCAAAAAAATAAAAATTTTCAAAATCAACCAATTAGAGAAGTCAAAAATAATGAGGCAGTTGTTCCTACAGTGAAAATGTCTATATTTTTAAATTTGTAAAATAAACAATGAAATGTGTTTGTTACGCAGGTATATGGAAACATCTGTGCATGATGGTAAGGCCTTTAGAATTTCTTTTGAAGTCTATAATTTTTCAAAATTCATCATATTACTTAAATTGGTATTTCATTTTTTGAATTCTTCCTTTCTGCATTAAAAAAATACATACGTATGTGTGTGACCAATGGTTGTTGCTATCTGTTTGTACTTCTAATGCAAGTCTTCCACTCTACCCATAAATGAAGACAAGTTCATCCTCTATGAGGGAAATAATTCTGTACAACAACAAAGATAAAAACTAACACAGAAAACACCTAAGTCCCCACTTTTCATTTTGTGGCTATGTGAAGAGAGGAAGACTAATTAAAGTAATGCTTCCTTTACCAGAGGGTTCCCCGCTGGCAGGGCAACAGCAACTGTTGGGGTGAGAGCCCAGCTTTACCACTTACTGGGAAGCTCCTAAACATATCATGTGATCTTTCTGTGCCTATGTCTTCCTCATGTGTAAAATGGAGCTAGTAACAGTGCTATCTCATGGGGGTATTAAATGATTCATTTAATCATTTAATTTGCATACCTAACAATGAAAAGTTAGGACAGTACCTGACACAGTTAAGAACTCAATGATAACTCCTGTCACAAAGCTTCTATTTCCTAGACCAGTTCCACAAGCAATACCAGGATTGAGGGCCACCAGAGGGAAGAAAATAATCTCCTGAGCTCTCTGAGCAGTGACTGCTGAGCAGAGGGGATACTTCTCAACTTTTAAGAATCTCAGGATTTAAGACATATCAAAAGCCTTGACCAACAATCAGTGGTGCCTAGTGACAAATGCAGTCAGAGGCCCTTCTCCCTGCCTCTTTGATAAACTGCTAACTCTTCCTGATTCAAGACTCAAGTTCAGACAGGACTTCGTTCAGGAAGCATTCCAGCCTGATCCAAGAAGTAGGAGTGAAATGGAATTTCAGAAATGGGAAAGGGCCAATGAAGCAAGGAGTAATTAGATTAGAAATATTGCACGTAATAGAAGAATCATTCCTGAATTACATGTATTTTTCTGCTCTTCTTCCCCACTGGCTCTGGTTAAATGAGAGAAAGAACACTAGTGTTTCCTGAGAGCCTACTATATGCCAGGCACTGTGCTGGGTCATTTACACACAGTAATTCATGTGATCCCCACAAAACTCTCTGAGACCTATCAGTGTGAAAACAGTAACAAGTTAAGTCATTTGCTTAAAGTCATTCCTGAGTGACTTCACTGTGTTGATGAATTGAATGTAAATCCAGTTATTTTTCTGCAAAGCAGATGCTCTTTGCAGTCTAGCACACTGTCTACAATTATTCTCTTTGAGTGAGGACTGACCCAAAGACTCTACATTTCACCAACTATATACCATTTTCCTTTGCAGTTTTACTCAGAAAACATGAGCTACTGATCTTACAATCTCTTGAAGTTAAACAGATCTCTCTTCAAATATCAGAGCATATGCCAGCGAATAACTGTTCCTTTGTTATACACACTCCAATAGATAACTCACTCATCATCACATCACAAGGAGAAAATGAATCAGGGCACAATATACACAAGAAAGTAGCTAAATTTCAGCTGTAACAGGAAAGGATATAAAGATGCTACGGAAAAGTCAGAGAAAAATCAATATGCTTTCTTTGTTGCACTGCATTGTAGAAATGGCCCAAGGTCAGCAGTTATCTGGTAATAGTCACTGGATTTGACAACTGTCTCTGAAAAAGATATGTCTTCATGCATTTAGAAATAAATTCAAGATCAACTTGGATTGGTTAATCTCTTCCTCTAAAATAACATTTGGGTTACCATGAGAGGCTTTATCATAGAATAGAGTCACTGAATCAACAGCCAGACTAAGCTAAAATCTCTTGCTTACCAAACTCTTATTACTTATTTGATAAATGTCTACTGAACACATAAGGTGCTGAGTAAAGAAAGACAAGCTATAATCTTTTTCTAACAAACTCGCAATCAAGCTGGGGGAAAAAAATGTTATTTAAATAATCAACTACAATCAAGTATGGTGTTACTACCCAAGCAGCCTGAATAAAGGACTGCCACAAAAGTGCAGAAAAGTAATGATTGTTTCCTGGAGCAGTCAAAAAGGCTTCATGGGTGTGTGGGTGTGTTTGTGCTGGCAGCTGCAACAATAATGGCAACATAAGACAGGAACCTGGCCTCAGCAAAGGCAGGAAAGTAAGGCAATAATACACAGCAAAGTCCTAGACTAGAACAGTGTACATAGTGGCTGAAATGTATTTCAAATGGCTGCAAACCCAAATGCTTTTAGGGTTCAAAAGACTGTCAAAACATATTAAAGCAAATGATAGTAAGTAGCAACTGACATTCTGCCTCAGTGTCTGAAAGACATGAGGAAGTTGTAGTAAACTAGAAAAAGCTTGCCTAGTCGAGAAAAGCAGAGGCTATGAGCCCCAGCCAATTGGTGCCATGCAGAAATTTATGTACCCAAGGCTTCTGATTTTTCAAGTGAAGACAGAAATTCAGATTTCTATCCTAATTTAAAAAGTTCATCCTGATTGTAAATGTTTACCCAACTAATTAAAAACAATTTTAAAAACATTACGCAAACAAAAACAAAACATACTGGTAGGTGGGCTTTGGTCTAGGGGCTGAGAATCTACAACCTCTGATACTGAATTTAAAATAGAGGAAAGGGGTGGTAATGTAGACAGATTATAAAGGCCCTTGAATATCATGCCAAATAGTTTGACCTCTATCATGACCCTGTAAGATATCACGAAATGAGTAGATACACATTTCAGAAAAGTATCTTTCAGACTGTTCCTGGGAAGTACTGTTTGAAACAACTGGCTAGTGGCATGATGGACATGAATTACAGAAGACACATTGAAAATGGTGTAGACCCATTAAGAAGTGATGACATTTGTCCTGATGAGAAACAAGGAATGGAGAGCCAAAGATGGTTGTTACAGAGATAGCTAAGTTAGGGAACAGAGGTTGTGAGAAAGAGGGAGGAGCAAAAGATGATGACAGAAGGGCACACTTGGAGACAGTTAAAATGCGGGGCAGAGCTCTACCCAGTCAGGATCCCAATGCTGTCGATTTTGCTCTTGGATTTCTCAAAAATTAAAGTACTGTTCCCTTCCCAACCAAATATGGCCATTTCTGCATCAAACTTTTAAAAAACACCACTTTCTAAGTAATTAAACAGGGAGGCTGTGATGGTTAATTTTAGTTAAACCATGGTTAAACCTGACTGGCTATGCGGTCCCTAGACTAAATGTTATTAAACATTATTTTTGAGTCTGTGAGGGTGCTTCCAGATGAAATTAGCATGGGTAAAGTAGACTGCCCTCCCCAAGGTGGGTGAGCATCATCCAATCCATCGAGAGCCTGAACAGAACAAGAGGAGGAAAGAGGAGGAATTCATACCTCCCTCCCCTTTTTTTTGCTGTCTGTCTGTATGAGTTGGAACATCTCATCTTCTCTGGTCGTTAGACTGGGATTTAAACCACGCGCTCCCTGGTTCTTAGCCCATTAGACTCAAACTAAAATACAACGCCAGCTTTCCTGGGTCTCCGGCTTGCAGAAAGCAGATCTCAGCCTCTAAGATCATGCAAGCCAACATTATAATCAATCTTTTATATATATAAATTTCTACTGGTTGTTTCTCTGGAGAACCCTGACTAATACAGATGCTTTCCAAATATGTAAGGAATTTAGCATATTAATGAGAGCATGAATTCAGTTTCGTTAAAAAGAAAATCTATCCCAAGAATAAAGGTCACATTCACTTACAGAATACATTCTTAAGGGATGCTTAAGATTTTGGCATGATCAATCAAACAGGCACTGACATTTCTGAAATTGTTCTTAAATTGTCAGATTTCTTCACTTGATTCTTTTTATACATGTTTTCTACAAAAACTGTTTTAAAGGTACAGCATTTTTGATGAAATACTTGCTTTCTCCAAATATTTTACTTTTTTTTCTTAGCAAGATTCACCTCTATGTTCTAGTTGCTGCTTCGGTTCACAACTTATGTGAGTCAGGTTTTTCAAGTGTCAGACCAGAAATTCACTTCCATATTTTTACTGATAATACAACCTGAGCTTTATGTGACACCACACTGAACTCTGATGTCCCCACCCACCAAATGAGTGAAAGTGAAAATTGCTTCCATGAGAATATAGGTTAGGATAAAATCAAGGCGCTTCTGTACACATGCACAGCTGCCTCAGAATTCAAAGTTTAGATGCTAGCTATTCTCATAAATAAGCTTAATCATTTGATCTTCTGCCCAGGTCCTCCTGGGCCTATCAAGAACAAAACTACACAATGAGGAGATTTAGCAATACCGACTGTGCAGTGTCCAGAAACACAAGAAACAGGTAAATGGAGAGGACTTGGAAGGCTACAGGAAGAAGGCAGATTGAGCTAGCATACATGGTCAAAAAATAATCATCTGAGCCAAAAATAGTCTTTGATGTTTTAAAATTTATACTGCTTCTTCTCTACAAGAGCATCATTCTGCTTCCCCACCCCCCGCCTGAGTTATATATGTATTGGCCCAATTATACATTTTTGTGCATCTGAACACAGATAATACAGCTTTGTAAAAAAAATAACCTGATGGATTCATATGGTGTTACTTCGTACCTTAATGTTACTGACACATACTACAGAGTGATAGAATGGAGAACAAAAGAGGGTCTAACAACATATAAATATCCTTAAAGTTTATGCCTAAACTTATACCTTTAAGTTGATGCCACAAACTAAACCTATGCCATAAACAAACGTATAGCCTTTTAATTAAGATGTATATCAGAGGACTAAATGAGTGAAACACACAGAAAATAGAAACTACTTCACACATTAAATCTTCAAATTAGACTCCTTTTCTATTGGTCTAAATAGGGAAAAGTGCTATTAACCTATTATGACAGTATGTTAAGGGGAATGCTGAGAGGAATATAAGGAAATTGCTATGTCATACATTTGGTAACAATCCACAAAGAAATTGTTTTTCACTCAACTGTAAGCTTCTTGAGTAAAGAGAACATTATTTATCTTTTTATCCCCTAAAATATTTACAACAGCTTCTGTCATGAGTAGGCTCTTGGTAATGGCTACCAAACTAGTAAGTAAAATTCTTCAGGAAACAAAGTTCTTACTCAAATTAGCCACCAGGCATACTGAGCACTTTTGAAGGTATTGCTATATGTAGGAAGGGGCAGGAGAGCTTTACAAAAACAGTCAAGACCATGGTCTTGGATGAGTACTTTCCAAAAAAGTAGATAATGTGTGCACAACAAGGCTTAATATCACATATGGGGGAAAACTGAGAAAAGAGACCAGGAAAAATGAACAGGTGCTGTCTGATGCAGCAAAGAACCACCTCAGAGGAGCAAAAGTGAATGCTGAGATGGTTTTCTTTTGCTCACATCCACAGAGGAACAGGACGAAGAGGGCTAGAGCTCAATTGGGATTCATAGTTGCAATGGCACCTTCGTAAATCACTAACCTGGTTCACAGTATAACTACTACCATCATACCTTCCCATTATCTCATTTGGACTGCTACTAAAATGAGGTCTATTGTTCATAAAGAACAAAAGAATTTAAAATCAGAGAATTGGAGCTTGTAGCAACTACGATCCTCTTCAATAATTTTCAAACTTTTTTTTTAGTCGTAGGATGTCTTCCTCAAATAAAACTTAATAAATGACCCCAATATATAAAAAGATAAAATCAGAATTGCTCTAATTTATGGCTCATGTTGCAATAGGTGGCCTGGCACCTTGCTTGGGGCACCTTCCAGAGTATCACTATAGATGGATGCAAAATTTGAAAACTAAGGATGAGTCCAAACTCCTACTTGACAGAGGCTAAGTACCCACCTAGGGAGTGAATGATAAGAGGCAAAACTAGACTTTGGGAATGTCAATACCCAGAGAGGGTTCTTCCTACTATATTCCATGATACTTTTCAAAAACAAAGGAAGACAGAGTTCATACTTACCATCTTTGTTCAGCCACTGCTTTCTTGTTCTGTACAAAATGAGCTTGTTGTGGACATACGGTAAAAGGAACTTGACACACCAGCTCTCCACACCAAGTTTGTTTTCAACCAGGACAATGGGACTCCGGTTATACCTAGCTTCAGGACATGGGATCAGGCCAATTTCATCTCTTAATATGCAAAACAAAAAAAGAATTAAAGATAAGAATACTAGTCTTTTCAGAATTTTCAATTCCACAGAGTATTTTTTTTTTAATTCACATATTTCCCTTTCTTAAAAATATTATTTAGCTCACCTACTGGATGGGTAGAAATGAAAAAAAAAGTTTTGTTTTTTATTTTTAAATACTGACAACAGTACAGGAAAATTAGTATGCTGTATTCCTTGTTGACAGGAATAAAAATCAGTCTTCGGATGGAAATTTGAAAATGTCTTCCAAAATTCTGAATACCCATACTCTTTGATCTAGCCATTCCACTGCTCAGAAATGATCCTATACCAAAATATATGAATAGGATGTTTGTTATAACACTGCAACAAAACTGGAAGTAATCTAAATATGTACCAATAGAAAATTGGTAAAATAAATATAGTTTATCCATGTGAAAGAGGTATAAAAACTAAGGTAGATCTGTATAAGCTGGTATGGAAACGGTGCCAAGCTGTATGAAACAAACAAAAAAGGTAAAATGCCAAACACAGTGTACAGCACAAAGACTTTTGTATTTTAAAAAAGATAGATGCATTAAAAAATTATGGGAAGGATACAAAGAAACTTCTGGGGAGAGGAAGGACGTTACTTTTATATAGTTTGAATTTTCTAATCACTTGTTATTACTATTTTTAAAAAATGTTAATAATTGTATTTACGCTTGCCTGCTAATAAATGTGCAACAGAAACAAATTATCAATAAAGGTTATCTTGTCATGGAGATTGTGAGCCATTTTTTTCTTCTTTATAACCCTTTATATTTAATTGAATAAAACACACTAATAAATGTTAAAATGCAAAATATATTTCATAATTAGATCATTTTCATGGCACCTATATCCCTCAATCCACCTCAACTTAAGCTGAAAATGTATATTACAGGCTTAGATTTAACAAATACGTAGAGCAGTTGAATTACATAGTAAAAGCAGCAGCAAATGAAATGTTTTTGCAAAACTTCCATACATGCCTCTCAAATAAAAGTTAAAATTCTCGTCTACATGAAATATTCTTTCTCAAATAGTATGTCCTTCTTTTAATCAATTAGTGAACAAGAAACCTTTTAACAACAGTTGACATAACAATATTTTTTGAGTGCCTAAACAGATTTTCTTAAATGTGTTTCTAAAATACAAAATAAAGAACTGGATTTCAGAGCTTGTGACATTATTTATTATGTCCCTGGGATTCCCCCACCAAAAAGACAGTAGAGTGACAGATGAAAAGAGAAGGAAACATGTCCAATTACAGCTTATAAGAAAAGCCCTCTTTTTCCATTAGGTACCAACACAAATTGGTAGGAGGCTCTGGTACTAAAAATCCCACCTGGAAACTCTAAACTGAATAGCTTAAAGGTAACCTACTTTCTACTGATCACTTCATTAGTGACACAGGAATATATATACATATCAATAAAGAAGGGTACTCTAGGGGTTTTAAGTCGCTAACCATCCTTTCAAGCTAACAATCTGAAAGTAGATTTTGAGACCTAAGGCTTTGTGTCCTGATAACTGGCTCAGTTGATTCAGAAGTGGTTCAATATACTATGTCAATACTATCTAAACATTTTACAAGTCTACTGGGTACAGTGTTAGTTTCTGAAAATGCGAAAATGAATAAAACAAACTGGTATATTATTGTATGCCAATTATAAGTGGGAAAAAACCTCACTGAATGTAAAATGTAAATAATTGTCTATTTCAATAAAGACAAAACAAAAACAAAAACAAAAACAAAACAAGGGAGTCCCAAATTTCACAAAGCTTATAGGTTTGCTAGGGAGTTGTATCAGTATCTATAATGTTATCACATTGTCATCCCAGTAATATAAAGTTCTGTAGGAAGAATAAGTCAATGCTGAGAGAGCATTTGAGGTCAACATCCAGTACATATTTTAAAATGTTTTTGCATTTGTATTTGGTGATAGGACAACCAGCCACATCTAGATCTATATCTAACTAATATATGTTGGAATCTCTGGTATTTCCTGGTGTTCAGGAAATACTACATGAAGCAGAACATTAAAAAATAAATAAATAAATAAATAAACCAAACAAACTACAATTACAGTTAAAAAAAAAAAAAGAAAGAAAAATCTCAGTGCAATTATTTCAAGAAAGTTTGTTCTTGGAAGTGCAACAACCACTTATAACACTTTGAAGAACTGCAAAAGTCAACAGTATGAATGTTAGAGTAACAAGAATAAAAGAATCCTAGTTTTTGGGTATAGTCTGTTTTTTGGGGGGGGGATTTATATAATGAAATTCACAATGTAAAAACCTGCCTCGTTCACTATATAAAAAATAAAATACCTAACTAATAATTTGGTTCCCAAATGACAGAACAGAGCCATCTGCGTGGGCAGGCGCACGCGCATGCACGTACATGTGTATACACACACACACACACACACAGCCCTCACATAGCTTTAGTTGGTTGTCATTCGTCCAACAAATAATTTAAAAAACAAGAATGTCTTGGATGTAGCAGGTGTTCAATAACTGCTATTGAAAGGCTTATTATCCTTGCAATTCAGTGATAAAAATTCAAATAAATAATTTTCAAAGGATATCGCTTCTTGATTTTGCAAAAGAATGTTACCTTTGATTTCCTTTCTACTGCAGTGGGTCCAAGTCCTAGCTCTGTCAAAGAGATATGTAGATCACGTCACTTGGCCTCTATAGACCTCATTTTCCTCATTTCAAGAATGGCAGAATTGCATTATAGCTCTAAATAAAGGAAAAGGGCTGCCCGGTCTCATTCAGCTTTCAAATTTTATGACTGAAAAACCCAGCAGTTATTCTCATGTAAGAATGAAAATAGTCATATCAGGGAATGTAAAGCACTAGGAAATAAAAAATTAAAAGAGATGTAAGATGTAGAGACAAAAGCATTCATCTTCTGAGGTCCAGGGTTCCAGACAGTCTCTGTTCTACCACTGACAGTCAATGAGAATTTGGCAAGTCACTTGCCATCAGTATCCTCATCTGAAATACAGGAATAATGCCTTCCCTGTCTATTACAAAAAGTGAATAATACAATATGAAGAATGTGGTAAACTATAAAGTGTTAAGCAAAGATGAAGTATGTTATCATTAATTCAGTAAACAGCTTGAGGTTAAGCTAAAAAGTTCCTTAATCGATAATGAGAAGCTGAGGCAAGGAATGTTAAGCCTTTGAAAAGTTATTTGATCCTAAGATACAGTACTCTGCTGCTTCCTAAAAATATAACATGTACTTTTTAAAGATAGGTAGGTCAGTAAGCTTCCAAATAACAGTGTGCTTAACTTCAAACTTCTGTGACTAGTCCCTTAGGTCACAGTCCACTTTTTTCCAGACAATTTAGGATTCCAGAAAATTGGAAGGAATCTCATTCCTCCAATCTCTCATTTTATCAGTTAAGGAAACTGAGGTTCAATGAGGTCAATAGGATTACCCAAAGTCATACTGCCAGTAGCTAAACTAAAAATCTGGACCTCCCAATACTTAGCTCCAAACCCTTGAAGCCAGAGTGAAGAGAAAGACATCAGTGAAAGCAAGCAGGATTTAGATTAATTCCTTCTAGATTTCTGGTATTTAAATTTTAATTTCATACGCAAGAAAAACTGGAAGACTCAGAAAAAAAAAAAAAACTAAAAGACATCTGTCATTCCTCTACCACTATTATATTTAGGTATACATCCTTTTTTTCTAAGTACTTTACAAAAGTAGGGTTATATTAGACATACTCCTCTATAATTCTTTTTTTTAAAAAGAACCTAATTCACATTAATCATTTTCCTATGAATTTATATATTTTAAATGGTTGCAATGAATGTGCTATAAATATCAAATTTATTTCCAAACAGTCTTAGAAATTTCTGACTCTTTCACTACCATCAAATTCCATTCTTTTCTATTTTCAGGTTTCTGGAAATTGAGATTCTTGGTATTTAACAAGGATACTCAAGTAAATACCTGCATTGCCAAGGTCATAGGACTTTTAAAGATATGAAGATTTGGTACAAGTTCTAATCTTTTCAAAGAGATACCACATGCTGTTTTTAGGTTACTTTTGAAAGCTGTTCCAAGGGAATATCAACATGGACTACTAACCCAACACATTTACTTAAAAAGATCATACACAGCATAGTACATATTTCTTGAGTGCTTCACTTCATAATGGAGATCCACTGACTTTCAGATGAAGTTCAAAGTTCATATAACTGATACTCTGTTCCTCCTTGTTTAGACAGTTTCTCTTGTCTGTACTTTTAGGAAACATCAATCAACTAGAGTATGCAGACAGATCAGTTACAAAATATTGATCGGCTTTCCTACCAGGACGGAAGGATGGTCCCCAAATATTAAAACCAAACTGTGCAATGTGGAGGGACTAAACAGAAAACAGTCCAAGGATTCAGGAAGCAGTATAAATCTTTTAAATCTAACAGTTATTTTCTCTTCACACTGGAATTTTTTCCAGAATGACCAAAAAGGAAGGTTAAAAAATGTTCTAAAGGAACTGACCCTTGCATATCAATAATTAAAACTTTACTGGTGATTAAATTATTTCAAGAGCCCTCACAGGCTTTCCCAATTCTAAAGACTACTAATTTTATGTATCACTGAAATTATATTACTGACCCTATTTAGAAAACAGCTACACAAATTATTACTGTTTAATGTATGCAATATTTTGTTAGGTTTTACATATACTATTTCACTTATTCTGCATAATAATCTTATAAAGCAGAAATTTAAACCCCATTTTTAAAATGAGCAAAGAATCTAAGTCTACCCAGCTAGTAAATGACAAGCCAAGATTCAAACCCAGGACTGACAGACTGCAAACTCAAACTTTTACAACTATATAACTATTTAAATAGATTTAAAAAAATCAAATGTAAGAAGACTCCACGGTTTCTGACTCTTCAGTTCAACTTGCAGACTATCTACAACTGCTTTTCATTACTACTCCCTTACTCAAAAACTTTCACTGGGGCCTAACCACTGCCTAAGAAGTGTATTTTCCCTAAGCCAACTCTTATCCATCGCTCACATATCAATTTTTCTAAAAAATAAAAAAATAAAAAAAAACCTTGACCTTCTAATCTAAACTAAGCCTGTTATTATTCTTTCAAAGTATACTTATCCTTTGGGGCTCTTTTCATAATCTCTGTGTTGATCTGTTTAAAGTTCCATTAGGGCAGGGACTACGTGTGGTGTGTTCATCAATCTACACGCCACTTAATCCCGTATGTCCAGAGACTAGCACTCTATCTGTCTAACAGTGTTCTTTTGCTCAATGCGTACATGGGGTGAAAGAAACTAAACCAAACAGTCAAAGACTTCCATAATATGGCCCTATTGTATCTTTTCAATCACATTTTGTTATTTTGGCTTAATTTACTGTTTTTTGTGGAGGCTGCTGGCTCCCTCTCAGACTGTGAATCCTACTTATCCTTCCAAGTTCAGCTCAAAACCCAGCCTCCCTTCTATTTCCAACAGACTCACACAGTACTTGCTCACCCTACTTTTGTCCAGCCTTTACCATAAACCACTTTGCAGGGTTAATTTACTGTTTCTGCAGGTAGGTCTTAGGTTTCCACCTAGACCTACACTGTGCAATTCAGTAGTCACCGTGCATATGTGGCCATTGTATATACATCAATTAAGAGTAAATAAAATTTAAAATTCAGTTCCTCATTCACGTTAGCCACATTTCAAGCATCAATAGCTACATATGGGTAGTAGCTACCATATGAGAGAGAACAGATACAGAACATTTCCAACACCAAATATTTCTGAGTGCTTTAAGTGTAATAACTGTATTGTACTTCTTATTCCATTCTCTCAACATGGTATCTACAGCACCTCATAGTGAGAGTTCAATAAATAAGAGTAATAAAAAATAACTTGCTAGAGACCTTTGACATGACCCTAATTTCACTGTAAACAATTGGTTTTCCACATTAGCACAGGATCTATACATCCAGCTAACACCAGTCCCTAGGTCAAGCCTTCAGTTTTTCCAATAGTAGTCTCTAAGAGTCAACTACACAAACAACATTTATATGGTATTTTTCAGTTCATAAAGAGCTTCTCATTCATAATTTAGCTGGCAAATTTATTTTCTGAGGAACACAGGAATTCAGGTTAAGTCTAATATTTACCTAGTGGCAACTAAGTTCCAGACACTGTGTGAGGTGATTTTCCTATGTTCTTATCAGCCTTACCAGATTAAGAGGAAAGTGAGGCTGAGAGAAGGTAACCTATCCACACCTACAAGTAACAAAATTCATATATCAACCACTGCACCTTCGACTCCTCCTAGATATTTCTACAAAGTCAGTAGGTTTAATGGAGTAGATATTGGCTAATAAAAATATAATCTATCTTATGTTTGGAGAAAAAAGGAAAACAAAAAGTAAAAAATAAAAAACTTTAATACTGAAAAGTGTAATTAGGTACTACTTTCAAGATAAATGATGTTTTCCCCCTTTTAACTAGAAATGCAGTCTCTTTATTTTGGAAAAAAGGCTAGATTGTGGGGAAAGTATGGGCAACTTTGAAAAGCCTAAATTATAAGACATTTTTAAAGATGCATAGTAATATTACTGAAGATATTGTTATTGTAGGGAATATGCACTAAAATTAATATTAGGCAATGAGTTAATTTTTCAGGCCTATATTATATACCATTATTTCAAATACTCATTTTAATACTTTTAAATCTTGAATGACCCAAATGCTTATTAATAATTAGAAATTATGCATTGAGAGAGCACATTAATGAGATTACACCATAAAAATATCATTAAGGAAGGTGTTAAAGTCCTTTATGAATTTCAGTAAATGTGATCCAGAAGAAAAGGAAGGTGTTAAAGTCCTTCATGAATTTCAGTAAATGTGATCCAGAAGAAATGGAATGTGTTCCAAGCAGCACTGTGTCAACCTGCCATGCCAATGAACACTCAATCTGTTTCTTCAAATATACAATACTGATGCTCTTCTAATTTACATCAAAGAGGAGAAACTAAGGTGATTACTGTATTTATTAGAATTCTTTCTAACCTCTGCTATAATTTCTTCAAGAAAAATAACACCAATGACAAAAAAAATAGCCTTTACTTATCCAACTTTTTTTTCCTGAGGATGTCCTTTATCTGTACTAAAGCTAGCATTCTCAAAAAGGAATTGAAAGACTGATATACAAAGCATCAAAGCATTCTTTAGAAGGCTTGGTACCCACTATGGTTACTGCCAGGAAATCATTCCAAACACTCATTTTGAAAAAGGCAGCAATCACAAGGGAAAAGGAAGTAGATGTTGTCAGAAGTGGCAGGTGTTTTGAGGCCATTAGTGTTTTGTTTTTAATGAGGCACAGTTGCAGGTCTCCAATTCTGTGCCACAAGGGAGCAAGACATCTGAGGGCTTCTTAATTCTTTTATAAGCATCACCTTAAAGGAAAAGAACACTTCATTTAGATATAGGTTTGGCACCTCTTTTAGGCAGAAAAGCTTAAGAAGTTAGAATCCTTAAAAAGTAATTCACGTGTTCTAGTTTAAAGAATAAAATATTTTTTTTAAAAAAACTCTATAAACAATTAGATAAAATGAAAAACATAAAATTGGATTCCATGTTTCTTTCTTCTAGGGGTAAGAAGAGATGAGGGATAGGAAAAGGGCTACACTCTTTGATTCTTCCTAACTTTTTTGTATAACGTTGTAGACATATCTCTCCTTTAGATATCTCTTCCTTTTCACTTGCTACATAAAATCAGAAGTTGTCAGAAAGAATACAGTTTCTTCTGGTATCTTCCCAGCGGTGTTCTACTTAAAGAGAGCAGCAGCGTTTGGATTAAAAAAAGAGTTAATATGCTTGCTCCCTGAAACTATGAATCAGGTAATGCTAAAAAGTGTCGAGGTTTCATCTGCTTTACATCAAACCCATCCCGTGCCTACACAGGCTACACTCTTGAGAATGCTCTGTTCACCTTCAAATAAATTGTTTCATCGGAGTCCCTCTACAATCTTGGGACAAGTAAGGAGAAAGGCAAAAGCAGCTCAACCTACTGTTTAGCAAAATGAGGGGGTTCTGACCCACTGAGGATAAGATGATCGGTAACCTCTCTTATCAACGTCCGGATGACCCTCAAAAGAGTTCTGTTTACAAAGCATACAAACACACATTGTGTGTGTGCCCGTTTACCTTAAGTAAACGTAGGATGTGGACACATGGATCGTGTCTTTCGAGTTTCTCGAACTCCAGGGAAAGGAGTGGAAGGGAGAGCAAAACAAACAGTTTTGATTTTCTGAGGTCACTTCTAGGGACTCAATCGCGAGCGCGTTCCAGTAGCAGTAAGTGGGCCCCGCGGCGGCCCACAACGGTCCGGCTGCGACCTCACACTGTCACCTCCTACGAGGGGAACTCGGGCCAGGATCCGCCGTCCTGTCGCCGCCGCCCGAGGTCGGCTCGAGGCTTGGCCCCGCCCCCGCCCGGCCCCGACGAC